TTCTTGCACACCATAATGAAGCTGGAGCTGGAAAAGAGTCGCGAGCAGCAGCAGTCATCCCCCGCAAACGGTTACCACGGTGACACCAACGACCTGGGCGGCCCTCTGGTCCAGTCCCAGCACAGGTTGGAGTACTCTCTGTCGGATTCTGTTCCACAAACGACTGCGATGCACCTTCAGACTGCGGCCGACATGGAGGAGCCTCTAGATGACGAGGAGGACGAGGAAGATGAAGAAGACGATGAGGAGGAGGAGGAAGAGGAGAATGAAGAAGATGAAGAGGACGAGGAGGATAGCAGCAGTGTGTGCAGCGCGCTGTCCGACTCCAGCACGCAGAGCTTAGCAAACGGCGACTCTGAGGACGAGGAAGAGGACGAGGAGGAGGATGAAGAAGAGAATTCTGAGAACTTGGGAAACCAACCAGTGAATCATACTGAGGTGGTTCCATTGTCTTCTGTGCTTTGCTTCAATAATGCACCGCATGAAAACAACATGAACGGAAACAGTTATTTAATGAACTCTTCCTCGGCTGAGTACTACAAGCTGGGGAGCTCCTGTACGGTTGCTAACAGTCAAACCAGTCAACCCAGTGAACCCTACAGTGAAGCCTTAGCATTCCATGATCCGGTCAGCACAACTAACAGTAGCGTATCCCAAGGACCTTTTAACATGTCTGCCGAACAGTACATAGACTACTCCAATCAGGCTGAGCAAAAATACAATAATGCTAATCACAATTTCACTCTGACCAATGGCTCTCTGGCCACCCCTTTGACCTGCTCCACAACTGATACAGAAAACAAGGTGTCCAAAGTGACATTTGTGGAGCAGCCGGACAACCAGAACCAGCCCCAATTTCAGAACTACCTGAACAATAACTCACAGGATTCCTACAGCAGCCACAGCTCCGGTATGACAGCCGATCAGCCACAGCAAGAGTCCACTATTAATAATGGCCATTCTGACCTGACCTTACTGGCAAGCAATGCTAAGAACCTCCCTTTACCAGACCATTGCCCCGAGGTCACAGCCATTTAGTGGGCCTCACCTTTCAAAGTGTTCTTTCATTATTATGTCTTAACTTGAGCCTGACCAAGTGGCATTTCAAGGAAACATAATCATGACCTTTTTGTATTATGTGACCTTTAATTCCAAAGCAATTGACACCAATGTAGTACATTTAACACTTGCTATTAAAAAGACCTTGACCATATTCAACCATCAGCCATTTCTTCTGACTTCATACTTTGGATGGGAAACTCAAAGGCTGTGTGTCATAATGCTGTGTTCCAGGTTATAAGTTGAATATTAATGTGTGAGTGAAAAAACTGCCATCATTCCCTTGCTTCAACTTTAAAATCAATTAACAATGAATCACTTGAATCACAACAACATATTAAAAACCAATAAGCTACCTCTAGACAACTGTTATTTTTATCAGACCCTTTCTAGCTAACAGCTAGTTAGCAAGTGTCTTGTTTATGTTACCATTTGAATACACCGTTCGATATTAAAGGAAAGGTGTACATTCCTAGCTTACAGAAAATGTAGCTGGCTAATGGTGATGTGTGCTAGCCAACTGTTAGCTCAGATGGCCATCGATTAAACTAGCTGGCTAATGGTAATGTAAGCTTGCTAACAGTGATTTCAGCAGGCTAACAGAAATCGGGCTAGTTCGTGGTTAAATGCTTTGACTGACTAGCTTACTGGTTATCTGGTTATATCAAATGTTGTTTTTAACCTTTTGTGTGCCACAGGAATTACAATTTTCACTTTTTTAGTTGCTGATGAAAGGGGAGTGGTGAAATGCTAACAATGTCAGATTCCCTGATAAGAATCCCGGAACACTGACTATAACAGCAAGATAGCATTTGAGCTTTCTAAACCAAGCATTACTTCAGAGGAAAAGGCCACTTGGTGAATATGGTGACTAGTTTCAGCATGGAAATGTTATGGAGGAATTAGTTCCTGAGCGTTTCTAAACTACAGTGTGTGCTTAACTGCGAGATATACTAAAACACAACCACTTACAAACATGTCATGCTGTGCAACGTATCATGTAATCTAAATGTAAAGTTCTAGTTTTAAGCAGATATTGTATTGTAGATGGAACTTTTCTATGTCTAATGTATTTGTCAAATGTGAAAAAAGGTTTATTGTTGCTTAATTTATTGTTTCTTAATTATGTGTATACTTATCTATTGTAAATGTTTTATAATAAGCATGCTGTTTTTGGGAATCTCAGTGACATTAAGAGTCGGGAGGGGGGGTTGCCATTGTTTTACATGAAAATGTGTTGTATACATGCTGTACATTTCTGTTCTTTTTGTCACAATAATATGCTTTTCTATGTTTTTGAAAAGCATGAAAAAGCCTGAATTCTTGTTTGTATGTTTGTAATACAATGTCTTAAAATAGCATACAATGTCAATTCACAGCCTTTTGCACTTGTGTGTTGGGAGTCCAGTGGCATGCAGTCGATTTAAACATCACTTGAATGGTGGGAAAATATGGCCCCTTGTTATATTTCCCTACTGTTTACTTTGAGAACTCCACAATTAAAGGTGCCACAAGAAATTAGGATTGTTTCTTAAAAGATTATCGTGAATACAGGGATACTGATAAATAGCACTTTGACATATCTCCAACAGTATGAGAAGCTCATAAACAACAGGACACTATCTACCATTGAATTAACATAATTAGCATCATTTGAAAAGTATCAGTAACCACTCTCCATTTAAGTTCTGGAGACAAATGATTGAACCCTACTATCTCAGTATTTTATAACTGAAGTGGTTATTGGATTTCTGCCTCGGGAAAGTTGTCTAAGCTGCAATCCGCTGTCTAATAACTGAGGTGTTTATTTATGTGGCTCCAGTCATGATGTTTATTTGTTCTACTGGTGTGCAATAGCTTAAGAGTTTTTAATAGGCATTCCCTTTTAGAGAAAACCCTCAATGAAACAAACTGATATTCCCTTTAATTTACCATCAAGGTACTTCATATTGGTACACTTTTTGTTGAATAATGAACATGACAGTTTTACTAATTGTATATTGAGGAGACAAATGTTCAAGGTTGACAATCAAAATTATTAAGAAATTCATATCAGTCATTTACAGATATACAGTATGAGTCCTGAGTCCAAGTATGAGCCATTGAAAATATATTTAACAGCCAGATTTTTAAAAACTGTTTGCCAAAAATCTGTAAATAAGCTTTTGGAACATGTTTTCTATGAAATCCCAACAAAAAAGAAAAAGGATTGACTGCTCAAAAATGTGAGGATTGACTGTGCTAATTTAGAGAACAGTATTACGGTATTATGTTGCTGAAGTTCTTTACCTTGAGCGCTTTGCTGCTGCATGAATAAAGATAATCGTCATCCTTCAGGCTTTCAAATATCTGCCATCTTTTGGAATCAGAAAGGGTCATTGCTGGTTTTTTGTTGATCGTGTGTGACTGATAAGTAGCTGGGACCTTTCACATCACTGTGGTGGTACAAAACAAGCTTACAGGCAATCAGAGACATCAACACGGTTTATGTAACAAATAAATGTTGCCAAAACATTCAGTGTGAGAAGGCTATACAGTGACACTGCATCCAGTTAAGAATCCTGTGTTGAATTTTATTTTCCGGTATTTATTATGAATGATATATTGAAATGTGTATTTATTGTGGTTTTACTAAAAGTCTGTGATGAGTAAATTGATTCACTATCTTAAATTTGTCTTTTGTTTCATGCAGGTTGTGTTTGAAAAGCTTCATGTGCCTGATTTATTTGTTATTCTGTCAAAGATAAACATTTTGCACAAAATGCTACACCACTTTTTTTATTTGTTTTTCAAACTGTAGATATAAATCAGACTGCATTTTCAGTTACTCCATTAAACATGATTTTGAAATAAATTAAATTCAAATTGTTAGTCAACTTTGTACAGCTCAATAATGTCTTAGTGCAAAGTGCCCTCTGCAGGTCATTCAGAGAAATGACACACAATCACACTCAGTGCCGACCCACTGAATTTATTGACCTAATATTAAAGCCTCCTAATACCAATTCAGTCTGATAGCCACAAATAGTTTTAATCTTAGGTTAACACTTATTCATAATGTTCCTCAATCTGACTTCAACCTAAAGCAGTTTGAGATATTCCACAGCCATCTTAACACTAGTGCCTGCACCAGAAAATCACCAGAAGACTCCCAATCAATGTGAACGTACATGAAAATATGCCTTTTGATCAACACCAGTCCATTACATTTGTAGTAATACAGGTAAACACTGCTGAACTCAAACAAACAGGAGAAATTGTCCATTTGACCAACATTAGAAAGCACTGAGTTACAAGGGGGGAAATATTACCATCAATTGTAATGAGCACTTGAAATTAGTACTTGTTACCTTCTGTCAAAACAGCTTATTTTTTTCTAAAAATATACTGTAGATCTGAGCTTTCATTCACACTTCATGTCTCTAGTTGTCATTTTATTGGGTACATTAATGTCTAATAGGACAGTCGTGCAGAACAGGTTATCATTGAATTATTTTTAATTAAAGGTGCACTATGGAGTTTCGGTGGTGAAATTTGGAAGTTGGAGAAGTGAAACTGGAAACTGGAACTGAATACACAATCTGAACTCAAAGAAAAATTTAGTCCCTGGAAGACTGTTTGGAGGTAAGAAAAAGGGACCAGGAGAGTTACGCTTTCACTGTTGCGGACCCCTCACCATAACTTCTCGTGTGGCATTTTATCTTCAAACAGTGTGCAGGGACCAAATTTTCCTCTGAGGACAGTTTGTGTATAGAGCTCTGAACATATACCACACAATCAGTACACTTCTCCAACTTTCACATTTCTCTACCAAAACTACATAGTGCACCTTTAATGTAGAGAGTTGCAGGCTAACTATGCTCACTTTGGTGCAGGTGTATTGTGTTGTTAAGGTGTTTCTATTACTCACCATGCTAAACCAGGTAAAGACAAAAAAAACCTGAACTTTAATGCACCTTTAATGAAGGAAGGATTTCTGCCCTATGTTCCATTGCTTTATAGGATGTTTGAGTTTTGGCTGGATGTATCACATGAGCTGGTAACCGTGTGTACAGACAGCATAAATCTATCTCATGCAAATGTTTTCTTGGACTAAGCCTTTGCTCACTTTTCTGAATCAACCCCATCACCCTTCCCTCCACCAATTCATCCAGCAGGGATAAAATGACATCAACAGCACTGGACGGTAAGAAACAAGGTTTAACATTTCAAAAAATATATATTTGAAGACATCCTACTTGTCTGCTTCATGTTCTGTCTTTCAGTCTCTTTGGTGCCAAATGTTTCAGTATTTGGGATCTCAGTGTGTCAAACTGTATCTGCTTGTAACCACACGCATGTAGTCTGTGTATTTGTATGGATTTGTTTTAGATGAATATGTTGTATAGTGTTGGCTCAACATGCCTGCGTACAGCATGTGTTGGTTGTGACAACTTGAGAGTAGTGGAAACATTTAAACACACAAAAAGGCACTTGTCAACATGATGTGTCCTCGTTGATCCAACAGTCTCAGTTCACAGTCTGACAGGGAGCAGCGTGTCAGTGCTTCCTTCAAGCAGAAGCACACTGTGGTTCATCCACACAAAAAAAAAAACTCCCCGGCAGCAGCAGGTCACTTCTTCTATTTATAAAAATAAATTAACTCATTGTCATTCATCTAAAAAAGTACTGCATGATTACTGTGTCCAGTATAGTAACACTCATGTCCAGAGTCCTATAGAGTGGTAGTCGGCACAGTTAGTAGAAGGACCAGTGCTGGTATATGTCTGAGGGGTTGCAGAGGGCCAGACTGGGAGACTCATGACGGCCACTCAGACACAAGTGCCGTCCTGACAGGTAGAACAAGTTGTTCTGTGCGAAGAGAAGAAAAACATTAACTCTCCTAAACAGATAAGCCCCGTATTCAAAAATCACATCAAAGTGCACACAAACTGCGAACAACTCACGTCCTTCAGTTCCCATTTTTGCTCTTCTCCTACCACTGAGTTCATGCCTTTATACTGGCAGTCTTCCAGCTTCACAGCCCCCTCCGCCCCGTGCAAACAGAGCTCCTTCTGAATGCTGTGTCTAATCTCCTGATGTGAGGAGTACTCAAAATACTACAGCGAAAGGGGAGAGATAGGGCACCATCAGCTGTGATTAAAGGCAATTATGGTTGTCAATCAGAGATAGAAGGCCTACTCTATATCTAACCTGGTTTCCTCCGAGATCATGACATGGGTACATGATCAACGGTTTCCCGCCCTCATTGTCCTCTCCAGCATCCAGACACGAGTCTTTGCCCACATTTTTTACCTACAGAGAAAGAGCAGGGAAGGGGGAAAAGCAGTGAGAGGAAACAAAATGAAAAACTAACATCCAGTGCAAGCTGTTCAAACAACTTTAGTCTCTGGAGTGCTTTCACTGGTGTCAAATTGGAAAAAGCTCAGGACCCTCAGGAGATCCTAAGTGGAAACCCACAGTGGCTAGACAGAGCTCTGAGGTTTGGAAAGAGTAGAGAGTGTGTGTGTGTGTGTGTGTGTGTGAGAGGGAGAAGGTGTGTGATCTTACAGAGCCATAGCGGGGTGGGTTGAGATCAGGCATGAACATTTCTGGATAAACGTTCTTTAGATACCAGGAGAAGCTCTTGCACTGCAGTCGTTCTTGGAGGTCCAGACGTTTGGAGATATTCCCAAAAGCCCTCTGTTAAAACAGCGGCACGCAGGTGATTACAGTTAATGAAGTTAGTTAAGAATGTAAGACATCAAAAGTAAATACATGTAACAATTTTAGCATCAAAAATGCTTTTGTATTAATATAAGAGAGGGAATTTGTCTTGATGTTTTTGTTGCATAGGAGTCAAAATGGGAAACAAATTAGATACAGTGAACATCAGAATTCTTACTTTGAATAAACTTAAATAGAATTAAAAACAGTGTCAGGATGAAAAAGGCTTTTGTATACATCTTTACAACATATTTGGTGCATTAATGAGCTGGAGAAATATTCAAGGAGTGTGCGAAGTGTTGCCAAGGTAGAGTGCAAAAGTTTACCACTGGAGCTAAACGCTTATATCAGAATGTCAACACACTCACCATTAATCCCTTTTCACTGTAAAGCACAGGCAACAGTTTGAAAAATACCAGATGATATGCAAGACAAAAGGTAAGAAAATTAGTAAAGTTATAACTAATAATGCCCACTGATGATTTTACAGCATTCCATCCAATAATTACGCTGTTTTGACCAAAATGAGAAACCTTATTCTCTGGGATCTGTACCACATGTTGGGGAAAGCTGTATGATAGAAATATATTTCAACCTAAAATGATCTTTTGGATCAGTGGTTCCAAAGCTTTTTCTTGTATCTAAGAAAAGATGAGATTAAAGAAGCTGTTTGACATTTGTGCTCGAGAGATTACTGAGGCGATCAATAGATTATGAAAATAGTTGGAGATTGATTTTCTTTTGATTGACTAATCCATTAGTAATTGAAGCTCTAACCTGGACCAACTGCCTGACTGGCACTGCCATCCAGCCACACTACTGAAAAAAACGACAACAAAAAACTAATGAAGAAGGGTGTCCATTTTTTGTATTCTTAAAAGTTCACAATTTTGTCTGAAGTCAATAACATGTTCCAGGGCTCGAATGACTCCTTTGTGATACAAATTAAGTCCAGACAAGTATTTGATTAGCGTTCTTTTTCAAACTGAAGTGTAACAGCACATTTAAAAACAATCTGCCGTCGCCTCCTGCTCCTGAATAATGAGAGCACTTAACTCTAATGACGACGAGGTTGCTCACACTGACAGACACTCCTGTGGATCCCTCCAGGCCGTTGATGACGACGTGTCTGTTAGAAGCAAGCAGCAGAGGGTTGGGCCCCCGCTCTGTGAGGTATCGCCCTGAGGGAAACGCTTTATGGCACCTTTGGGACCCCATTTTAGGAAGCACTGAGAGCCTGTCATTTAGCAGCGCTGACTTCCTTCAGGCCCCCCCCCGTAGGATCATAGCTTTCAGCTCTGAACAGCTGATCTATTTCTCTGTGCTTAATACTACAGAATACCTGGATTAAGAACTACAACAGTGCAATGCTACAGCTCTCCCTGTATGTACAGTGTTGTGCTTTCCCCAGATAAACTCCTGATCAGACGAGAAGTAAGGAGCTGCATTTTGCTCAAACTTGTCTTCAGGGTGGAGTTCGACGGTAATGAGGGGTCTTAAAACCAATATGACCACGACAAGTGAAACATAGTGCTGCAGAGAACATGTGCTGCATTTAAAACAGTCCCAGTATAGAAACATAGGATTTCAGTATATCATTACTAACGTACTTCTTTTGCCATCTGCGCAGCCTGCTGGTTACGACGGTAAAAGATCTCTTTGTAGTCGTCCATCCAGACCTCGGCCAGTCGAACCTGGTTACGAGTGATCACTTGCGTCCCCTTGGGGAAGGTGTGGGGGCTCTTCGTGCGGAAAACATGACCCACGATGGAGCAAGGGAGAATCTCCAGCTGTCCACCACACTGCCACACCTGCAGGTTAATGGGAACCAGCACAAACAGATGCACACAATTTGACAACACACCTATGGGAGTCCTTTGGATTGAGGAATGATTCAACAGGTAGCAGGGCTTAATGACAAATCACTAAATAGCAGTTCAACCAGAATGACAGCCGAGTGACAGCTTACCCTGAATGACATTTCGATGTTCTCTCCGCCCCAGATCTCCATTTCTTCATCATAGCTTCCAATATGGTAGAAATATTCTTTTGAGATGGAGAAGAGCCCACCAGCAAATGCAGGAGTCCTGTTGAGAAATATCATTCAAAAAAAAAGTTTTTAAGGATATCCAAAAAGAAAACAAAAGCCTTTAAAAGTTTTAAATTCTGTTTCCCTACTTGATAGGGTACGTCTCATCCTTCCTCCTTTGCTTCTCATGATCTGGTAGACCCTCCCATCCAAAAGAAAGCGCCCAGTCGAAGTTCCCCCGGTTGTGGTTCTGGCCGTACGGAGACGGCTTTGTGAATTCAAAAGTATTAAGATCAATAGTGTTTATGTCAGGACTCACTACCGCAGTGTAGTTCTCCGCTATCCTGGCCAGCAGAGGCTCCAGCCACCCTTGAAAGCATTCACCTGTTCACACACACAAATCATGCATTGCATCACATATTTCAAACACAATAATGACAGAGGGGCTAATTTTAGCAGCCACACAAAGACGCTAATACCACGGCAAACAAAGCTGTGGGTGTGTTCATAAGGGTGTGCCCCCTGCATACAACTGGTTTTACTACGCGAGTAACGTCAGCTGTGTTGACTTACAGTGGGCATCGAGGAAGGTGAGGGTGTCACCGGTAGCCACGGAGGCACCCAGAAGGCGAGCGCTGATGAGTCCTTTTCTCTCTCGCTGACGGACAACTCGGACAAGTGTCAGCTGCTTTAGATACTCATCCAGGTCATCCTTTAACACATCTGGAACACAGAAATGAGACAAAATGAAGAACAAGAAAAAAATATGAAGAATCTGCTGAAATGATGTGGGACTGAATCTTATAAACAGTTTGTATTTAGGTCAAAAAATACTCCATAGCTACTAAAACCAGGGGTCTCCAACCTTTCTTCATCTGAGAGCTACTTTGAAAAAAATCAAAGTGGCCGAGAGCTACGATTGCATTTATTTACACAGCACACATCAGCTGATAAAGCTGCTGTTTGTACACTGTGTGACATTGCAATAAACCAATGCTTATCAATAATCTTAAATTCACATCAAGGTCCAAGAAAAAAACATTGTGCCACGTAAGCTGTGTTGCTGAAAATTCACATCAATATCAAAGAAGACATTACTAATTTAAACTTGTTTTTAATGGGCCAAATATATGAATAGTGGGAAGAGGTGCATTTAATGTTGTCAGATTATTATTATTTTTATTTTTATTTATTTTTAACACAGTCGGTCAACTGAAAGGCGAGCAACTTAAAACCTGCCCGCGAGCTACCTGTTGGAGACCCCTGGACTAAACAGCCTCAAACGGATGAAAAAGTACAAAGCTGCCTTCCTTTATAAATCAATACATTTTTATTTGCATAGCGTCAACTCATAACAAGTATTATCTCGAGGCACTTTGCAAAAAACAGGTAAAAGACCTTACTTACTGTTATGTTACAAAGACCCGGCCTATCCATCATGAGCACTTTAGCAAAGCAGCAGAAGTTACAGTGGTAAAAAAAAAAAAATCATATCATCAATATGTCTCTGTCAGAAAGTGCTGAACACCAGCACCTCCATCTGTGGCCTAACTAAGTGTCAGAGGGACGGTCTTAACATCGCTCTCCTTACCAGTGATTTGTTCCCTGCCTAAAAATCAGAACTATTTACAAGACTCTCTGATTTGTTTTATAGGGACAACCACTGCTAATTCCTCTCAGGAAACTATTCACTAGCAGCCCCCTCACTTCCTGCAGTAACCGACTTCATTTGCTTCAGAAGAGAGCTCCTCTCTGCACGTCTCAAGAGCTGCCCACCCAGCACGCTTGCATGAAATTGAATCCAAATAAGAGGAAGGCGGTCCTGAAGGGCCCCTCTTTTGAATTTTTTTTTACCATCCACGCTGGCGTCGTCCACCAGGATGATCTCCTTGAGGAGAATGGCCGGGGAGGTGTGCAGGACACTGTATACTGTCCTCAGCAGAGTGCTCCAGCCTTCGTTGTGAAACACGATTATCACGCTGGTGGTCGGCAAGGCGGGGCATCGCTTGAAAGTTTGCTCAATGCATCTGCAGGAAAAAAAAAAGAAGGGGAAAGAGCACAAAGATGTGACTGTCCCTGTGCTGGTTTCTGAATGGCACAATAGTCTAGTTATTACATCTGCAGACTCTCTCCCCTGTGGGGTGCCCATTTCAGCAGTGACACCGCATGTGTGGCAGCCTTTGAAATACCTACAATATCAGAGTGGGAGAGGCGTTATAAGTCACTCTCATAAGATAGCACAGGACATGGACATGGGCTTTGTGTCTGTGTCAGGTACCGACTTTGTCCCGACATCTACTTGGACTTCCAGGGGAGCTTTATTAGCCAAACACAACTGTGCTTCTCTCCGAGGTGGCCACAGTGACTGGGCAGCAGGCATGCTGAAACAGAGTCCCAGTCAGAACAGCCTGATGTCTGTGGTTTTGTTTCTGCAGATTATTTGCAAAATATGATAAATGTATTGGGTTAAACCAGTAAATGTCGTATTAAACTCAATTACTCTGCTTTGTGATGTTACGTTTCCACTGTGTGACTCAGTTTTATTCCGGGTCAGCAAGTTGAGAAATAAAGGGGAGAGTACTTCTTGTGCAGCATTAAAATCCAGTAAGTGGTGTGACTACATGTTGTCTTGAGAGGAAATCACTTGGGAAAAATGAAAAAAACATAATTTGGTAAGATTTGAGATTATTTTGCACAGCTTTGCCTGACTCACTCTGGTGGCCGTGTGTCCGCTCCCAGGTCTCTGCTCAAAGACACGCGGTCACTGGCATACAGGTTGAAGCAGTGTTTTTCTTCACCCTTCTCCTTCTCCTTCTGCTCTTCAGGGCTCAGCGACTCCGTGTAGAAAGGCTTCCCATCCGCTCCAGGAGCTAGAGGGTCCTGAGGTGGCCGCTCCAGAGCCGGCCTGAGCTCGGCCGCGGTGTAGTGACCCGGCAGACAGGATCTGCCGCCCCACCCTTTGACCTGCTGACGCACAGGGGCTCTGATCTGCATCTTTGGTATCGCATCCCTGAAGTTATTGACGGCTCCGATCACGATGCCCATCACGGCATCCCGCTTCACTGCCATCTCCTTCAGCCACGGGTCGTCCTGTTGGTCTTGGCTCCCCACCTCCCATTGTATGAGAAACACAAATGTGACAAAGACGAGGGCCACTATGGCCAGTTTAAGAGGGTGCAGGCGCCTTCGGAGGACTCTGCGGAGAGCTGTCATTCTTATTGAACAAAGAGGAGGCTGGCTTTGGATTCAGATTCAGCTGAAAGAAAGAAATACATAGAACAGGTTTTTAATGTATCTAACTTACCAGAATCAATTTTGAGCAACTGGGATTCTAGAACAAATTGAAGGCAGAATAGCATTACTTGTCTTGTCAGAACATGTAGGCTGTATCTCATAGCCTACCATAATCTGTTTATTTGACTTTTCAACTAACTGTGTTTAAAACATAAAGTAGCTTGCTGCAATCTAACAATCACACAGTCAAATCACACACTTGGTGAAATACACAAACAATATGTGCTCTGGATTCCTTCAGAGTAAAACACCACGTACCATGTAGTCGCTGAATTACACATTTATGATCGAAAGATGCTTTGAATTGTTGTTGGGTCCACCAGGCATCCTGTCTTGATCTGAGTGTCTCGGTTTGTGGCTCGATCTCCAAAGGGACACTTTTCCAAGAAGACAAAAAAAGATTTGGCTTGAGGGAACTTCCGTCTCGTTGGATCCAGGTGCGCTCCTCTCAGGTAGAGGGAGGGGACATGCTGACGCGCATGCGCAGAGAAGAACAATGCGTGTCATCCATACCTGCGTTAGCCTTCATTTGGAGAACACAATAATTTTTTTTACAAGAGTGTACTGCGACAAACAAGTTAAATGCATGCACTGTATGCCTTACATCTTCACGTAATGACTACGATAACGTCTTTACATAGTATTTATAAAATTCCAACTTCTATCTTGAAAGCCTCCTCCTCTGCCTGCAGCACTACAACAGCCTGTGCCATCCACAGAGTTCCTCACTTTCAATGACGGTGTCATTAATAGGATTTGTTCAACTGGTCATTCACTGGGACAGTTGCTGGGTTACATAAAAAAGAGGAACGCGTTAAACCCCACACACAGCCCACCGCATCCAATCAGCCACTCCAAGAAAAACACCACGTCGAGCACTTGGAGCGTGAACTTATGAATGTGAACGATCAAGTTAAAAGAAGAAAAAAAACACACATGGTCCAGTGTGCATTTGGAAAAGTTAAGCGTCATTTTGCATCGAAACGACTCTGACTGGATTATAAATTAATATAGCATGTACAGACTTTTCTCTTGAGTTTAAAAAAAGCTGACACTCACCAGCGGACTTTGGAGATCCTCTATTCCTACATTTTGCCAGGTTTCCCTCAAAGTTTGTTCTTACAAATAGTTGGATGGCGGCGTGGATGAATTCAGCTGTAGGGAGTCTGCTCTGATAGCCAGTCTGGAGTCTTTCAGCCTCTGAGGCGCACAGTGACTCCATCTGTGGTGACTGTGCTCCCCGGCACTTCCTATCCACTGCAGGCGTCCGCTTTATTATGTCCGTTTAAGTGTTCACTGGTGTCCTGCATTTTTTCCAGTCACGCTTGTAACTATTTGCTTATGTTCCATTAATACGGAGGGATTAACATGACTCAAACTGTCTATAAAGCACATGACTTAATCAGGAGGATTTATTATTAACTCTTAAATACGGAGAGAGAAAAACAGTCAGGACAAAAGGCAACAAAAATGTTTTGAAATATTTTTATTTTTAAATATCAGATTATGGTAACAACCATTCATAACATATCTACATCCGTATATGACAATATAAAACATGTCTATTCAAATGACAATAAAAATAAACAGTAATAAAACATTTCAGATAATACAAATACTTCATGTTATGAATGAGATTAGAAAAAGTATTTATTTTGGACGTTCTTACTGTTCTTGTCCTTCTGCACTATGTCCTTGTTTTTGTGCTCTAAAATAATTTTTCAATTTGTAGGCATTTAGAAACATCCGAAATGCTCTCAGCATTTTTCAATGTGTCTGCAGGATCAGGATTGCCAGCACCCTACTTTTCTTAAAGGAAAGACATAGCAATGTGTTAATACAATAAAACTGGAAACCACTAAAGTAACCTCATTCTGTCTCTGAAACATTCCCTTCCTTTCTCTCTTTCTCTCTGCGCTCTCACTTTCAGCACTAAGATCTCAGCGCAGAACGAGCTTTGTCCAGGATGTCCTTTCTCATCCTTGGATAATTCGGATGAGCAGCCAGAACCTGTGGGCGAATCAAACCACGGATCATTTCACAGGATCGAAACAGAAGTGATCTTTTAAAACCGAAAAAAACCCACATCAACAGGTGTCTCACCTTATGACACACATCTATGGCATCCACGTATCTCTTTGCTTTTAAGTAATTGAATGCGAGTTTGTATCCTGAAAGAAAAGAGGTATCTGTTAGCATCATGATTCTCTTCATCCATAAACAATAAAATGTGATTTCATTTGATGTACCGATAGTTGGGTTGGTCTGATTTCCATATTTCCAAGCCATTTCATAGCTGTGTGCTGCATCACAGAAAGCCTGGTCTTTTTCCATTATGTAGCCCCTATATTCATGAGCTTTACAGCAAGACTAGAAAAAGGCCAGTTGTTAGAACAAAGGCATTAACATACAAGACTGCATCTACATTTTCAAGTCACAAAATAGGGAGGAAAAAAAGTGAATTGGACCACCATGAATAAAACACAAAATATTCAAGCAGCAACATTTTTTTTCCAGGCTAACCTTGTTATGGTTGAGGCATCTCTGTAAAAGGTCCCCGGCCATGTCATACTTCCCCGAATGGATGTAGATGTCTGCCAAGAGCAGCCAGCTCTTCTCAAACTCGTCAGCATCGGGAATGCTCCAGTTCATCTTAGCTATGCGTTTGAGCTGGTTCCTGGCTCGGGGGGTTTGTTTCAGCATCATGTAAGCTGTCGCCATGGCCAACAGAGCTGGAACGTGGTCTTTCTGAAATCAACCAGAGAATCCTGGTTAGACGGGATGAATCGGAAAAGCATCCCCATTTCAATTATTTAAAACCGAGAACACACCCAAAAAACTTGACAATATTATTTTTAAAGATTTATTTTTGGGGCTTTTTGTGCCTTTAATGGAGAGATAGGACAGTGGATAGAGGCGAAAATCAGAGAGAGAGAGAGAGAGAGAGTGGAGAATGACATGCGGGAAAGGAGCCACAGGTCGGATTTGAACCTGGGCCGCCCGCTTGGAAGACAACAGCCTCCATACATGGGGCGCGTGCACTAACCACTGCGCCACCAGCACCCCAACAATATTATTTTAATTGAAAATGTAACAACTGACATTCACACAACTGAACTAACATCATGAAAGAAATCACATGCTGTAGTAGTTCAGCTGGATACGGTGTAATGTGTAGAAGGAACTGCCATGGAGAGGTAGACTGAAACAATGCACAGCTTCTGATTTACACAAGAGTCATGTAACTCATGCGTACCATCTGGACTGTCCTTACCTCGTTGTTTGCGACCTCTGTGAAAACCCCGAGTGCTTTCTCTACATTGGCCTTCTGCTTAGTAGCCAGAAAGCAGTAGTTCTCCAGGATGCGCAGCTGCACCTGTCCACCTGATGTCTGAGGCTTTAACTCCTTCAGCAGCTTCTCAGCCGTTCTCACAGCCAGCTGCTCCGACTCCTGCTTCTCAGTGGAGTTCCTGATGAGACACAAAGATGAGCGTTAGCGCTGCAACAGAAGGAGTACATATGTTTATGTAATCCTGATTTAATTCTTCGTGTGATCTTTGTGCCCCCCCACCCTATTTCCCCATCCAAAGTCTCGAACACTTCTCCTCCCATGGTGTCGTTGTCGGGGTTCAGGTAGATTTCGATCATGTTGTACACAGCATTTTGACCCCAGTCGTTGTCTTTCCGTGCTTTGTTGAAGTGTCGCAGTGCTTCATTAGGTTGCCCTGTGAACCTGGGGATACATTAATGAAACGTTTTAGTGATTTAGTGACTGGTTTTACTCAATACTGAGAGGGAACACTTCCCAAACTTACCAAAGATAAAGTCCTTTGCAGTAGTTGAACCCCGGGTCAAACTTGGTCCGGGAAGAGTGTTTTTCTGCCATATCGATAAATCTGGGGACTTCTTCCAACTTCCCAGCCCTCCTCAACAAGTCAATAAGACGGGACAGTGTCAGGTAGTTGTCTGCAAGCAACAGGTGCAAGTTATTGTACTTTCCATTCATCCGTTCCTCACTAAGTGTTTTGGCAGAGGCGGTTCTAGACCACTTTTACTGAGGGGGCCATACTGGGGCCAGTTGTTTTGTCAGAGGGGAACATTAAACACAGGTGAAAAAAAGACAAAGATGATTGCTTTAAAAAATATATATATTATGCCAAATAGTAGCGCACATCATAAAATACCATGATTTATGTTTGTTTCAGTAACAGTATTTAATACTAGATTGTGAGTCCGATTGTTAAGTCAAATACTGTGTATGTGTTATTAGGGGGGCTCTTCCTTTTGGAGGGGTGGCCACAGGGCGGACCAAGCTCAGTGTTACAGGGGCACTGGCCCCTGTTGGCCCCTGCCTAGAACCGCCCATGGGTTTTTGAGACGACAGGAAAAGGGGCTCTCATGCACCTGGTTTGCGCTCCAAGAGCTGTTGAAAATGGAAAACAGCCTGGTTGTAGTCCTGCTTCCTAAACATAATGTCCGCCATCATCTAAGAACAAACAGATGTAAGGAACACATTTAGGTCAAATGGTTACAAAAAGGTCAGCGTGTAAACAGTTACTGAAGACAGCCTGAACAAACCAGAGTTGCATCTTCATTAAACTGGTCGTTCTTCAAAATGACGCTGCATTGCTCTTGGCATGCATCGACCTCATCGAGAGTGAGATACAAGCGGGCCAACTCCAGCATCACCTTGACACAAAGAATACACTCATATGAATTCATGTGACAACATCCTTCATGGAGTAATGTACGTCGGAGAGATCTGATCTATACACTACCGACAACTTAGATCACAACATTTAAAGAAAAAGCAAGCACAAGACCCTAAAAGATGCCAGTGCTTGTTAAGCACAGCTGCAGTGAGCACACAGGACGTTTTTCATTCGGCTGCGCACTGACCTTGCGATCAGTCTCACAATACACAAGAGCCTCTTTGTAGAATTTGACTGCTCGCTCATAGCCCCTCTGACTCGTGTAGTGTTTAGCTATCTCAGCACAGATCTCGGCGGCAAGCTGCTTTTGCAAGGGGATGGCATCGGGCTGCTCCAACTGAACCCGCTTCAGGACTTTGGCCTGAACATCCCGGGCCTTAACGCAGCACAAAAAAAAACACAACATCAATTTCAGAACAACAATATTTGCATCCCGCTTATAGTCTCTGTAGAAAGAGTGAAAGATTACATGCTATATGATACAAACATGAACGATAGCACAGTGTCAAGAGTGCGACTTACTTTTTGTAGTGTAAGTAAAGCATCCTCATTTTTGTCAACTTTAATTTGGATCTTTGCTAACAGGACCAGATAACGACAATCATCCGAGAGCGCCTGCAGTTCATTTACTGGTAAAAAAAAAAAAAAAAAAGCAGTTAGAATGATTGAAACCATAAACACACAAAAACACAGACAATTTTTTTTGTAAAAAAAAAAAAAGAGGGGCGACGTTGTTGACTTTCTTTTCAAACTGAAAGCCCTTCAGAATAAACACAGTATTTGTGAAGAGTTTCTTTCCCTCTTTGAATCAAGTTGTTTATACATTATTTGTATCATGTGTGGGCACTAACTATCACCATGACTGGATCCTCTTATTTGTATTAGTAGTGGGTTTTTTTGACATCAGCTCAGTGTGTGTAATACTGAGACTTCATACCTGGTTCATGAGCCAGAGCTTCATACAGCACTCTCTCACAGCGCTCGTAATGCTTCATCTTCATTAGCAGCTCAGCCAGGTCGTAGCGCAGGAAGTTCTGTTGCTCAGTCTTCAGGGCAGATTCGTAGTAATTCATTGCCTGTGTGACATCAGCCTTGTGTCAACATTGGGTTTTTTCTGTAAGTGGACCGGTGTTTATCTTTAAATAGCTGTACAAACAAACCTTGACGTAGTTGTGAGTCTTGACGAGGGCTTTCCCGATCTTGCTGGCTAAAGCTCCATCTTTGGGGTTTTTCTTCAGAGCGTTCTCGTAAACCTCGATGGCTTTCTCTGGCTGAGGATGACACAACACAAGTGGTGTCACAATATGTCAGAAGTAATTATAAATATTCACAAAATCAAAAGCAGCACACTCCACTGCATTGTAAATATGAAACAGCTTAAGAAAAAAACTTTCTGATGAAACTTTTCTATCTTAATATAGAGGATGTCTCCACCCAACAGATTGAGGTGAAAGCTGTTTTCGATTGCTCTGGTCTAGCAATTATTACGACAATGAGCGTAACAAACATACACCTAATTCATCTTAAGAAAGTCAGCTGAGTTATTTCATCCTTACTCTACTACTTTAGGTAACACTTTAATTAAATATTTTCTTTATATCTTTTACCGTTGGTGAAACTGCGAGGTCATTTCCTGATGAAGTCTACTTGAACACCATGTTACAATTTTGTAAAGCAGATCTTGATCATTTAAAAATAGGAGTTCTTTGTTTTTATTTGATTTTGTTAAGCCTCTGATCAAAGGCAGTGAGCTGCTCATGAGCCTGTGTGAACTACTTTGAAATACATGATGCTTCTCTAGTAATAAACAACGTGAGCGTGACGCATCAATACAAAAAAAAAAATTAAATTGTCTGGAAACAACATTTTTCACCGAAGGCCAAACTATAGATGAATGCATCTTTGACTCTGTCAAGAGGAGAGATGGATTGCTTACATCAGCAAAGGAGCTGAAATCTGCCATTGTACTCATTTAGCCTGGATGAACCTCACACTGTGTCATTACAGGAGGAGGGTACGTCCTGTGTCGAGACAATGTTTGACTAGCAGTATTTAATGTTTCATGTGGGTCTGCTCCTGACATGTGATCTTCTACTCGACTGCAATGAATGAGCTCCCCTGTCAGAGATATGTGTGTTTTCTATATTTCCCAGAAAAGCTTCCTCAAAACTATTGTTATTGCAACTGAAATAACTGCTTCATCATTGTGCAGTGCGTCCGCTGGAAAAGGGAAGTCCTATGTTCCTTTACAGACCAATCAAGAGACAGACCTTGATAATGGATGACGATATCAGCCGATATTAGCATTACCAGTGACTAATGATATCGGCTAGTTTTATCTCTGATATGTGCGAATATTACTATGTTTATTCACCAGTCAAATATCATTTCATTAGAGTTGTATTGTATTAAACAGGCAGTTCTCTTTGCTTTGTGCTTTATGGATTATTACCAGCATTATCCCTCCAGAGTGTCAGGCGGTGATGCTCGTACATGCACAGTTACTTTCAGGTTGAGTGACCATCTTGTTTTTATTAAACATCTTTTCCACAAGTGTTTTATAGCTGCATCTGAAAGATCAACGCACTAAATGTATACATCTATCTATCTCTACAAACAAACAGATAAAAGAAAGATATCGACCTACATATCGGAATCAAAGTTTTTCTTAACCGATATCGGTATCGGCCCCAAAAAAAACATATAGATCGGGCCCTCAAAAACCTAGCAAACCTCCTTAACATGAATGCTAACAACAGTAATACAGAAGTAAAATGAAGCTTAGTGCACTAATGATTACAAAAAGGAGATATACTGTAAACCACATCATTTAAAAATCACCCTGTGGATGAAAGTTGTAATTCCACCTTTTGGTTAACCTTTTGTAAAAGGGTTTAAAAGTCTTTCCCAAAGTAATACTTGGATTAGATTTCACACACACCAACATGGTTATGTACAGCCTGTAGCACCTACACATAATGAATCACATGGACTTACTTCTTGAATGTTAATGAAGGCATCTCCTAGTAATAGGTACGTATGGGGGCTTGGCAGTTTCTCCACCATTTCTCTGGAGAAAACACAGACATCACACATGGAGTACTTTATTATACACACACAGTACGTCTCCGCTGGCCTGAGGTTCAGTCATGCTTCACTGCGCCTGAGCTGTTGACACAAGCAGCATCAGAAAGAAGCAGAAGACTAGAGAGAACTCTGCACATTTCCCTTTGACTGCATGAATGGCTTCAGTTCATTTTTTATTGAATTTACTTTTTGGTTTGTGGTCTCTTAAAAACCTCCTACAGACTCTGCTGGATGAACTTACTTAATACCCTATGTTTCATGTGTAAAATGTCCCAGCCTTTACTGTTCAGACAAACATTTACAAAACATTAGGTTTCAGATGGAGCTCACATATCATTGGCTGTGATCTTATCCTAAGATCTCCTTTCTGTTTGTTTTGGATCTAGATTATCTGCTCACCTGTAACAGCTTGCATACAGACGTTTGTCCTTCCTGTGGTTCAGATATATATCACCCATTTTCTCTTTGGCCTGGATGTAGTAGGGCTGCTCCGGGGTAATGTTCCTGAGCATGCTCAGCGCCAGCTCAGTGTCGCCGCGGAGCAGTGCCAGGTCTGCGTTTGCAATAGTGACACGTAGTTCCTCAGGGGTCCCCGAGAACTCGTTGATGGCATCCTGCATCACTTTCGCTGCTTCATGCTGAAATATTTAACACATTTATGACTTTATTACGTATTTTAAATTCTGAGGCGAGGACGACACCTTAATAAATACAGCACAACAGAGTACAGAGTACAACAAACTTCCCCTTTCATAAACTACAAAGAACAAAATCTACAAATTTTCTACCTGTTCTCCATTGAGCCACAGGGTCTCCGCTAACTCCAATAAGACAGAGACACAGTCTGCAGGACTCAGCTCGATGTTCTTGTTCTTGGACTTGTACGAGGATCCAGCTCTGCGGACGCCTGGAAGACTCATGGCCATCTGCAGTGTCTGAATAGCCTCTTTCAGCTCACCCATTTTCTTCTGAGTCTGAGCCTTGATCAGGTGGTACAACGGGTGATCTCGAATCTGGAATGGATGAGAAGTCATGACCAGTTCCAACATGTGGAGTATTGGCTTAAAAAAAACAAAAATTCTGCTTAGATTATGTCAGAATCTATCTTATTTTTGTTGGCTTCTCCAAAGCTGCCTAACCCAACTTTAACCAACCACAAAACTGTCCAGGTTTATTAAGGACATGCTACCTCCATTCTGAATGTGACATGTAAGAGCTGCAGTTGTGCCGTGTTGTGTATATTTGCCATGGGTCAAATAACACACCCTGTCACATAAGATCTTACCTCAAAGTTGTGGCTGAGGCAGAGCTCGAGAGACTGGGAGCACAATGCAAAGTTCCCCTGCTGCAGATAGATCTGTGCCATCAGCAGATGAGCGTCTGCATGAGAAGGACACTGGTCCAGACAGTGTTGCAGGCTGCTCTGAGCAGCATCAATGTCTCCTGAATGGACACAGAGGCATTATAGGCTAAAATAGCATTTGCATTAAAATAAACCTGATATATTTATTTATATATTTATTTGAAGTGCAGTGCTCACCAGACTGATATCGGACTTTGGCCAAGAGGAAGACCCCCTGAGGGAGACCAGGAACAATCTTGACCACAGTGTCCAACAATGTGGTGCAGTGCTGGAGCAGAGGGGCGGGAGGCAGACCCTGTGCTGGAGGCTAAAAACAGAGATAAAAAAAAGATGTACTGTATATATATTTTAAAAATCCCCATACCTTTTGTGACTCATTACAAGCTAATTAACAGGTCTGCCAAAGCTTCACCAAAAGACTGGAGTTTGATTTATGTTCTTCTGTCACTTCTTAAAAAATGGGGCTGTTTCAAGCCAGATTTGGAATAATATCTAATTTTGAAGTAACATTAAGGATGAGACTGTTGTGATATCACATACCGTCTATAGTGGACCAGCATACTTAAAATATTTTAAAAAATTAAAATCTGATAAACTCAAAGAATCTGACAAAATAAACGTTTATTTATAAACTTTAAATAAATTCAAATGGATGTAACATTTCATCCACAGACTCCAGTGCAAATCTGTTTCCAGTCATGCATACACATCAGAATGGATCATGTGTCACTACCGTCTGACCTTCACTTCAGCTGAAAGACGTTCCATTATTCAGATCACAATTTATTTTTTAATAATCTGCAGGCCTGTCGCAATAAAATTTGTTTTTCTTCTCCTGCGATGGTGACGCCATGACCCGCCCTACTCTGCCTCTGATTGGTTGGTACTAGTTGCCTTTCATTTGGTTGGTTAGATTAAGGCTGATGATTGGTTTTACAACAGGACCTGAACTTGAGCACTTTTATCCCATATGGACACTTTAGAGATATAATTTTTAACCGCCCAATACCACTGTAGTTATCACTGTAGTAATTTCAAGCTTTTATATCATTTCAGTGTATATATTTTATTGTTCTTATTGCTCTTTTATTGATTTTATTTTCTGTAGTAGCTTTATCTCATTTCTTGTTGTTTATCATTTATGTATGTTTTCTCTGCATCATTGTAAATGAGGGTCGCCCTCAATGATCTCTCCGAGAAATTAAATAAAGGTTGATGATGATGATGATGATGGTTAGGGTTAAATTCTGGGTAAGCCAATTAGAGGCAGAACAGGGCCCCAAGTACGGGAAGCAGCAAGTGAGGAAATCTATTAGAGGGGGGGGGGAATAAAAAAGTGCAATTTATGATTCTCATCATGTGAAACAGGAGGATTAGCGTGTACCTGTGTGAGGATGCTTAATTGCGTAACTGTAACAGTCAATGCATGAGACTTGGCAGCTCTGCTAATTAAATATGCACACACTGTCTCAAATTGCAAAATGACAAAGTAAAATCATTTGTGGCAAAATGCTACACAAATGGCTGAGGCTCTTCACACTACCAAATTAAAAAAAGTTAAATAGACATTTAAAGGATCAGTCGTGATCATACGAGTTGTACCTTGGCAGGGCAGAGAGCAATGTACTCTTTGACAATCTCCAACAGGAAGTCAGGGTTCAGCTTCTCAAAGTACTCGACTCCCAGAGGCAGGCCCTGCAGCGTGGAGAAGTGTGTGTCCACGGCATCGTTCAAAAGGTTTGTCACCTCCTCCTGAGGCCGACGCTTCTTCACTGCCAGAACAGCACGCAAGTACAGTAGGTCCTGATAGGTTAAAAAGATAAAGACAGATACAAACTAAGAAGAAGAAAGGCAAATCAAATATATGTTGTATGAAAGAAGAAAAAAAAGTTAGAAGATGGGAAGTAAGGAGGAAACTTGTGTTACCGCTGACTTTCCAATAGATTGTTGAATGTCTGTCAGACATTCCAAGCGTTCTTCTGCGTCTTCCAGGTGGCCCTCTGTCAGCTGGCAACGAATTATACCTGAGAAACAAACATAAGAACTGTGGAGTTTCTTCAGAAAACATAAAAAAAACCAAAACAATATATACAGTCATGTCAACAAACCAGTCATGGCAGAAACACTCGTTTCATCCAGAGTCATGGCCGTCTTGTACCACTTCAAAGCGTCCTTGATTCTGCCATGAAGCACTGACTGGTAGCCCAGCTCCGTTGCTAAATCTGAGTCTCCTGATGCAGCCGAGAAGGCTCTTTCCACCATCCGAAATGTTTGCTCGATTATCTTCTCGTTTCGTTCACACTTTGATAAAAAAATGAAAAAAAAATAAAAGTATGTGAAACTCACATTTTGTAACTGTCTGAAAAACTCTCCAGGCTCAAATAGTCTTTCATCATTCATAATTTAGAAATAATGTTAAAAAAAAGAGAAGATATCTTACAACACGGGTGAATGCTAGAGACATCCTGTAAAAAAGCTCTGGGTTGTGTGGTTCCACTACCTCCAAGCTGCCAAAGAGGGTTGAAAGCTGCTTTACTGCCTTCATGGGGGGGGGGGGGGGCATAAAAATGTTCTGTAAATGGATTACAACTTTGCCACATTTGAATCATTAATACCAATAAATGCAATTCTTTTGAGTCCCATTTGTCAACTGTACCTCAGTAATATCCCCCTCCCGACACAAAGAATACAGAGCCAGCATCTGCAGGGCCTCCGGGTTATTTTTATCCTTCTGTAAGAGCCTGGGAAATGACACAAGTTACTGAAGGTACTACTCCATGAAGTCCATCTCCTACTCTTAAGTAAGCTTGGATTTCTTTAGATTGACAGTAATAGAATATCTGATTCTGCATACTGTGTTGAATTCCCAGACAAATTTAATTAAAACTGAAAAGGAACTGTTAAGGCTGCCAAAGGATGTAAAGTAATCTCGCACCTCCACCACTTCTCAACATCCCAACGAGGGGAACCAAAGCAGCTTGAAACTTGGTGCAACTTGAGCAATTGCTCTTCCTCCTGTTAAGCAACGCCCGGAAGAGGAAAATCCTCAAAATTGAGTTGGACTTCTGCACTTTACTTAATCAGCATGCTCTGGTTTTAAGGCAGCACATTGTGTTCAATTAGCACTTGAACGCTGAGCCATTTATAAAGGTTGAATATGTTTTTTTCTTAACATCCATGGTGGTGATTTTAAATGCATTTTTGTCTAACTTTTTACTTCATAATCTCACATGAGGTTTGAATAGTATTATTTGGAGAAAAAAAACTCATCAATTACCTGTGAGCTGCATCTATGGTTTGTTCCCAGTCCTGAAGGCTGAGCAACAGTTTCATCTTCTTATTGAGTGCAGGCAGGAACCCAGGGAAACTGACAATGACCTGGTTAACCATCTCCAATGCTCCTGAGTAGTTCTGACGGTATTCATAGTATTGTGCCTTGGACGGATCAAAGTCACAAATGAACCATTAAAATAATGTGTTTCTAGTAAAAGCCCTTTAACATTTTCAGCTGCAGAGGAGGAAAACATATCAATACATATTTGTAATTCCCATCTCACCTTTCCCATGAGCGCAAAAACATCTGCTTTCTCTTTTAGGGCTTCATCAAAGTATTTTCCAGCCTTTCTGGCGTAGGCATCTTTACCAGATGTCACATCTATCCAGGCCTTCAGGACTGTCCCCTGAAAAACAAAATATCAGTCCAAATGTGGAAGAAATGTGCAAATAGATGAGAAGCAAGAATGCCCCTCTTTGTCATCTTGTCATAAAACATTTCATCATAAACATGGAAAGCAACAATTAATGCATTTTTCATACATGTGATAAAAATACAAGTCTCACCTCTCTGGAGCCTTTTGAGAGTTTGATCATTCTCTCTGTGTACTCCCTTGCCTTGTCATTTCGCCCCAAAAGCCAGAGAAACATCCCAGCATGGTACAGACTCTTGGGTGAAGCACTTTTTCGATCCTCTTTGACCTTAGCATCAAGTTCCTGAATGACTTCTCTGTCTATGAATGAAAGGACTCTTATCAGAATATTACCAGTCAAGTGTGTCCTGTCCATATAAGATATAAGACTAGCTAAGTATACGGACTTACCTGGGTTAGTCTTTTTTTTCTCAGCATAGACAAGGGCCATTAGAGTGCAGAGAGCCACATCTCTACTGTCTCTAATTGTGTCCAACTCTACTGAGGCCTCCTGAATTTCATCTGCAGTAAAAAAAAAAAAAAGACAAGTAAGTGCATGTATGACAGATGTAAAAAGCCACTAGCCTAGCCAGAAAAAGTTTTCATAACATTTTATTCTTTTAATCTCACCTTGCATAAGGGTACCATAAGCATGGAAAAAACTGTAGATGGGATCATTGCTGAACTTCCTCTGAGCAGCTGCTGCAGCGATAACAGCATGACTGAAATACTTTTCATAGCAATAGTATCTGATCAAAGCCTGTGGAACACAAACAAACAGAGAAAGGACTGAGTTTGAGGAGTTAGAAGTTGGTGGTAGTGAAAGTAGATAGATAGATAGATAGATACTTTATTGATCCCGAGGGAAATTCAAAGCATCCAGTAGCAGGTTACAAAGACATACATGACATGAAACATTTGTTACAAATTAAACCACAAAACCGACCCCCCCCCCCCATACATATATATTAAGCTGAAAAAAGGGATAAAATATATGTGAAATTTAAACAAGAACCTATAAACTGTAAAAATCTGTAATTAGACCTGAATATAAAAATAAAAAAGTGTTGACCTCCTGAAGTTGTGTTGTTTATATATGTACAGCAATGTTTAAAAAAGCAGATAGTACAAAATTATCAAAAAACAGACATTAAATAACAGGCAGTGCAAACATTAAATTAAAGGTGCTATGTAAGTAATTGAGGTGATCATTAAAGTGTCCAACTAGAGGCTGACTCTTGGGACAGCTGTGCAGATGGGAAGTGGAAAAAAGGAAGATTAGTCCAAGTGTGTGCTTTCCCCCTGTCATAACCTTGAGGTGTTGTATAGCCAGGGGGACAAAAGAGTTTTTAAGTCTGTCTGTGGAACAGGATTGTGACAGCAGTCTGCCACTGAACACACTCCTCTGCCTGGTGAAAGTAAGCAAACAAGGGTTACTTAAATAGCTTTGCACTCTGAGCTACCTGCTGCAGACTTTGCTATTTTGTTGATAGAACATATAACATGCAAACCAGGGTGAATAGTGGAAGGGGTGTGTAGTCAGAGGGTGAATTATGGCAGCTAACGTTATTATTACTCGCTATTAAAGCTATTAAACATTATTACTTTCCTGTATGATGCTGCATTTACTCCGACGGTCTTAAATTACAACATTATTGGAAGATTTGCGTGTCAAACTTGGGCTAAGGGAGTTGAGCCATTCTTCTCAGAGCCAGTGTTTACGTCATCATTAAACCTGCCGTCTTACCAATGCTGTCTCTTCATCCTCCATCTTTGCTGAGACGCGTTATGCTCGTACGGTGACTCTCTGAGTGGAAATATCTGCGAATCGGTCTGCAATATACTTTACAACAACGATATCAGTTCAGTTTATGTTTTCGCCATTTTGGTAGTCCCTATGCGTTACCCCGTAACTTAGTAACAGCCTGCTGTGGATGTTAAATTTCCCCCAATTTATCCTTTCAGGCGTTGTGCAAATAGATGTGTATTTATATATACACATCAAAATACGCTGGCAGATCAAAACACCAACCTCAGTTTATTCGGAGTCTACATTCTGCTACGTTTCATTGATAACGTCTGTTACCGGGCATCTTTGGGTAAACAGATTTGGATTCGGGGGAAGCCTTGAAGCCTGACAGACCCTGCACAGGGTATATTTATGCTCTGTGGCACCATTTTTATATTGAGGTCGAAGTATTTACGCCTTTTTCTCTCGAGGGGGCGCCATAATCCTTTTGCAAAAAGTATTGCAACTGTAGGCTACTACTACTACTAGTTATAAAACATCATTATTATGATAATAATAACAACACTATCCACATTATTATGCTTATTATTGTGATTATAGTTATTATGATGATGATTATTATTATTATTAGGCCTATATTAGTCTGGGAAACAAGCCTATGAATGTGTATGTGTGTTTGTGAATTAATTCAGAGGAATCAATTCGAGTTTTGACATATGTCATAATTTTGTGAGATTGCATGTTTTGGCTTCTACTGTATAACAACTTGTGCATCAATGCATGCACGGAAATGCCCCCCCATACCTCAAAGAACTGCTCACTAACCCGCACAAGACACCTTCGATCTGCCGCCACAAATTGTCTCCAAACCCCCAGGACTAAGCTCTGCTCCATGGGGGACAGAGCCTTCTCCTCTACTGCCCCAAGGCTATGGAATGCTCTACCTGACTACTTGAGAGCCCCACAGACAGTGGACTCCTTTAAAAAGGACTTGAAAACTCTCCTCTTTAAAAGAGCCTTCTCCTAAAGACCTTTTCCCTTAAACCACTGCTTTTAGATCTTAATTTATGCTCAGGTTCTTAACTCTGATTTTACCTTTGACTATTGCTACTGTTTTTATGGTTTTATTGAAATTGTAGCACTTTGAGATTTTTGTTTAAATGTAAAGTGCGTTATAAATAAAACAATTTTATTGTATGATAGTTAAACCTGCTTTGAATATATGGAAATTATTATGTTTTTTCCTCTCACAGAGGTTGCATCAATGTGGTCAGTTTGTCTTTGTTGGGCTGTGTTCTGTTTTCCATATCTACACGATTTACCATCTCAGTTTAATTTAGACAATCCATGACAACAACATTAGAACATTAGATCTTTGTAATTGTGAAATATAAAATATCTAATAATTTCACTCATCCAAACGAGGAAGTTTGACACATCTTTATGCAGTTTTCCCTGCTGAGTGGAAACACGTTTCCACCCAGATGGTGTTAATCGGGGATCCAGTGTTATGCAACACCATGCATTGACTGTTAAGCATGAACTCCTGATGTCTACAGTGTTGAGTCCATGTCAGGGGCAGCCAGTGTCCAGCATGGGTGAAACTGTTCCAAGAGAGACCTTTCCACGCCTTGTCAAATACTGTTTAGCACTAACTCTGGCACATAATCATTACTCTCCGCAGCATACATCGATGGAAGAGTAAATCAGGTTGGTATCGAGCTCTGAGCATGTGCAGCTATGGTAAACGGCTCTGACACACGAGTTAGCAAACCATTTTAAACCAACATTCTTGGATGCTATTGTAGCAGAGTAAATGCACATAATAATGAATAATAATATGTATCTTATTCTAACCATTCTTTAAAACATTCAAATTAAATAAGTCATATTTTCAATAATACTCATACAGAGTAGAACACTGTTGATAATAAAGGTGTTGTACTTAGCAAAGAGCATAAATACTGCATGTGTTGTTGCACTTACAAAGAATGCATTTGAAAACCTATTAGAGGAAAGACTGTGGAATATGTTGCCCCTGGGATGTGCTGCTATAGCATTCTAATGGCTTTATCCATTGTGGTTTGTACAGGCCATTATTGATCAAAGAGCCATGCCCAATAACACAAGCGGTTCACTTGCCAATGAACACTTTCATTTCTTTTTCCATATGTTGACAAAAAAAATGCATATGCAGTCGTGGAATTAACACAAAAAAAGTACATACTTTCATATTGCTGGTCAAGTTTTGTAATAGATAGATAGCTTTATAAGTGTTATGTCAGATAAATTAAATTAGAAAAAGTGGGGGAGTATGTACAACCCTCTTGTTTTTCTTGACAAGTTGTTGTCTGTAAACTGTGGTACAGTATTTTTCATTGTTGTTGAGAGCTATTAAGGGAGTGATCTATTTGAAACTGTGTGTGTGTGTGTGTGTGTGTGTGTGTGTGTGTGTGTGTGAGAGACAGAGAGGCAGAAAGACAGAGATTTACTTGTTGAGATAAAAAGAGAAATTGTGTGTAGCCTGTGTGTGTGCGTGTGTGTGCGTGTGTTTGCATGTGTGTGTGTGTCAGTTTGTGTGTCTGTCTATCAGCACATTCGGAAGGTAAGAGGGTACTCACCACTACCTAATCTAATGGGATTTTCCTCCCATCTATCTACAGCAAATAAAATTACAGAGCTGTTATGGGTAGCATTCTCAGATTTCTCTCTGAATTGTTTTCCAGCCTGCCTTTTCATGCATGCCAGCGGCAGGATCCCGAGCCAAATAGACATCCTTTCACATTTAACATGTCCACGTATTATGCCCAGATTGTGAGGCTCTTGGGATGGGGACGCCAGACCAACTTCCGACCTTCCACCCTAATGTAGTTTAACAAAGGAGCTTGATGTCATGTTGCCGGGCAACCAGGAAGGAGAATCTGCAGAATCACTCTTGATTAACTGGTCATTAAAATAGGCAAACTGTAGCCCCACCTGTAGCAGTCAGTGGAGCTGGTTTCAGACAGGCTACATTTTAAAGGATGTTGCCTGCTGGTAGATAAAATTGTAGGCACAAGTTTTACAAAATAAGAATCTTTAGACAGCATCCACTCAGAATATTATTTAACAGAAAAAAAATGTTCAGAGAAAGTTCAATTGCTCAGTTGACAGGAAAGAGCATGGCGAGTGGGTGTGGCACAAACTGATAATCACTTCACCATTGTGAGGTAAAAAAAAAAAAGCAGATATAATCAGTCTCTTGTTTACTGCCCTCAAGATTTAGAAGGGACAATAGGTAAAAGTTATGTTGGATTCTAATGAATATATCTACTGTCATTAATAATGAATAAAATGTTTCAACCACTTAAGATGTGGACAGCTTCTGGCAGGAGCCACAAAGCACACTCAGAAACCAGATTTTAGCCTCTAACACAGAGGCTGGCTAAAACATATTTAAGGCTGAAATAAAAATATCAAAAACCTGTAAAAGTTTTCCGTTTCAAAGCTCCTTAGACTCAAATATTTGAGTTTTTTTTTTTAAGTATGATCATGTCACTGAAGATGGTTTGCTTAAAGTCATGTATTCATGAGTGATTTTAACGTCCCAAGAGAATCAAGAGATCAATATAATTTGAAGCAGTTACACTTTAAGTGCGCACTAAATGGACACTGATTACTTCAATGTTTTACAGGTTCTGAAATGACACTAATGCTGCCCGCAGCCTTCTAGCTATGAGTGAGTCATCCAGCTTCTAACTGTAAAAGCTGATGCTGAATTTCCTACAAGGTTGTCACTTCAGAGCCATTATTCTAAATTAAAATCCTTCAATCAACTGAGAGCTATTATGACAGTATGATGATACTCATCATTTTCATCGGACTATGATCCATTGTTAATGTTGTCATACTAAACAACAATGAAGAACAGTTAAATCTGCTCAGAATTTGCTCCTTAAAAGGCAGCTTAAGCATTTGATGAGAAAATAAACAAAAAAAAAATGAAAACCTCTCTGAGCTCTGATTTTTTAGAAGAACTTTGCAACAACCATCGTCCCCCTTCCCAAGAAGAGCCCGCCCACCTGCCTGAATGACGACAGGCCAGTGGCACTCACTCCAATCATCACAAAGTGTTTCAAGAGAGTGGTACTAGCCCACATCCAGAGCAGCATACCGGACAACATGGACCCCCTGCAGTATGCCTACCGGCCCAACAGATCCACCTCAGATGCCATCGCTGCTGCACTCCACTATTCTCTCTCGCACCTGGAAAACAAAGACTCCTACACCAGGATACTCTTTGTTGACTATAGCTCTGTTTTCAACACAAACTCACCCACAAACTGTCTACACTTGGCCTGCACCCCACTCTCTGTGACTGGCTCCGAGACTTCTTGACTGGCAGGCCCCAGTCTGTCAGGATTGTTAATAGGACTTCAGGCAGCGATCATTGGCACTCCACAGGGATGCGTCCTCAGCCCCATCCTCTACACCCTGTTCATCCACAACTGTGTCGCCTCCCACAAAGACAACGAAGGAGATAATAGTGGACATGAGAAATCACATCACCGTGTGGTACAGCAGCACCACCACTATGGGCCGCAGACGCCTGCAGAGAGTGGTGAAGACTGCTGAGAGGATCACTAAGACTCCACTGCCCTCTCTGCAGAGCATCTACCACCGCAGAGTCCACAGGAGAGCTGCCTCCATCCTCAAAGACCCCACCCACCCCCAGCACGGACTGTTTACACTGCTACCCTCAGGCCGGAGGTACAGAAGTGTTAGATGCAGGACCTCCAGACTCAAGAACTCTTTCTTTCCCACTGCTGTCTGACTCCTAAACAACTGACAGGAGTGTAACAATCACAAACCACCTCATGCTCAGTTTGCACATATTACACTCATTTTTTGCACAGTTTAAATTTTCTATTTGCACCCTACTGCCTTCAAATTGCCTTATTTTTTGTATATTTTGTATATTTGTATATATTATTATTGTTTTTTTTTTTTTTTTATTTGGCTATATTTAATTTTAATATTTTATTGTTGGCATTCACTGTGGACAGCAAAGAAATAATTTCATTGTACAGGGAAACATGTTTCCTACTGTGCACATGACAATAAACATTTTGAATCTTGAATCTTGAACTAATAGGCTTCAGAGCAGGCAGGGGTGGAACCAGACTGTTTTTGACTTGGGTGGCCCAAGTTGAGCACTGATTTATGCATGGGTGGCATAAAGTTTGTGTGCACATATTTCTAACAACATTCAAGTAGTGAAAAGTAGATTTTTTGCTATGTTTATTTCTGATGTCTAAAACCTAAAGGAAGGCAACATATAAATCTTCTTATAGCTTAATTTTTCAAGGACTAAAAGAGGTTTGCTCAAAGTCACATTTTAAAGTACCAACAAAGTGATGTGCCACATTGAAAGTTAACCGCGTTCCAGTTGCGAGTTGGCAACAAATCGAACAAGCAACATGAACGGGAGCATGTTCCCACATTTCTAAGATTTTTTTCAAAATTAGGTCCTATGTTCCCAGATTTCCTTTTTCATAAATTTGTATGCTGCTGCATATAAATTGCTGCTGATCTAAATAAAATGACTCATTCATAACAAAAGTGCTTCCAAAAAAATCTTGTGGGAGGATCGGGCTTAAATTGAAGGGAAATGTAGGAACACAAGACCACGTATAGCAGCCATGTTGGATTTTAACTCAGGCTACTGAAGGTTCTCAGAGTTTCAAAGTTGGAATTCTGATTGACGTATCCAACCGGCAACTCTGTATTTCCAACTTCCGATTTGAAATATGCGCCCGCAGCCCAGATAGTTGATTTTAACTTAAAAACCGCCTTTGACAAGGACAGAAAGCCAATAATGGTTAAGAATTTGGGGGGAGGCCAATTGGATTTCCAGGGTGGCCCAGGCCAACCCTTGCCAGAATGCAACTTTTATAGTTAATCCCCTTGGCTCCAGCCCAACAGCTGCTGGTGTACAAGCAAAATGAGAACTTTGCCTGCTGAAGGGGTAAAGCTGACCAACTCTTCTAGTACACCTGCAATGACCCGAACAGGCAGAAGGGGTGGGGCTAGTGTGACATCCTTTGAGACTAACCACAAGACTCTAGGTTAGTGGAGAGTTAAGAAAGATCTACATGAAGTGAAGTAACAACTGCATCACAGTGGTCCAGTGGGAGCAGTAAGCTGTGGTAGAACAGGCTTTTGAACTCCACATTAATGGAGATGCAAAAGGGAAGACAAAATGACGGCTGCTTCAGAAAGAGGCAATGGCTGCAGTGGAGGAGAAGTCAAGCACTACTGTCACGAGGCAGCAGGGAGGGCCGGATATTGTGGGAAGCCACATAGACAGCTCACTAGGAGGCACAGCCATTGAACCTACAGCCCAGCAAACGTTTTTTTGCTGGGGCAAACAGGGATCTCTTTTGTCAAAGTAAAACTTAAAATTTCAGTTGTGATCCTAGTACCCTTTTGCATATTCAGCTAATGGACCTGGAGAAACAGCTGAATTACAGCTGGACACTCACTCCAGTGTGAGGAGGAGAAAGCCTCACCTTGACTGCTGATTTTGAGAGGAGGTCAATGAGAATATCAAGCGCAACATGAACACAAGCCATGGCCTGGCAACATTTGTAAAAACAAAAAGCTCTCGACAACTCTGGTCCTAAACATTGTGGACACTAAATCAATCAATCAATCAATCAATCAATTTTTTTGTATAGTGTCAACTCATAACAAGTGTTATCTCGAGACACATTACAAAAAGCAGGTAAAACACCTTACTCTTTGTCTTTTAATATTACAAAAGAGCAGGTAAAAATACCATACTCATTGTTATGTTTCAAAAAGTATTTAAAAGACCTTACTTATTGCTATATTATAAAGACCCGGCCTATCCATCATGAGCACTTTAGCAAAGCAGCAAAAGTTACAGTGGTAAGAAAAAACTGTCTTATTAAAAGGCAGAAATCTTCGGCCAGATCCCCGGCTCATGACGAAACAGCCTTCACAGGCTCAGACTGCGCCGGGCTTGGAAAGGGATAGGGGGAGAGATGGGATAAAATGCAGGAAGAGGGACAGGGAGCAAGGGGGGGTGATAACGCTCACGTACTCACGAGCTGTTCTCTTATGTACTGAACTGGTAAATCTGAGCAACAAACCCACGTCTAATTTTCTTTTTGAGTCTATATTTATTGACTGATTGGATGTGCAAACAACAAAAATAATTGATAAGTTAATTGATCTTAAGCTGAGAGGAAATTACACAAATACACAATACACACAACACAATACAAATTAATAAGTTAAATTAAAAGATAAGTCAAATATTTTGGGCAAACATAGTAAAACACGAGCTAATCATTTAACAGAGAAATCAAAGACCTAAAGAGACATACACAATGTGGCGCACAGTTCCACTGAAGCACTGATGATCATTCTCAATATACAAGCATACAAGACATAATGACCCAACCTTCAACCAAATCCCCTTATTCTAGGAGAATGTCTACACCTAATCATGCTCTTGCAGTCGTAACATACATAAACAATACTATAAATATCTTTTATATTGCATGATAAAATAATGATTGTTTTAGGAATACTTGAGGTACATGTAATCTTTATTCTTTTGGCGTTTCAGTGAAATGGGTTATAGCAGTGTCTTGCATGCAGTTTATTTTTACACTACAAGCATTATGCATAGAATAATGGCAGATGTGAAATTCTTCATAATCAAAACATTCTCTCATTATGCACAATGTATAGGGTAAGTATTGGACATTTGAGTTGCATGCAAAATATTTTCATATGAATGGAATCATATTGTATGCCAACAGATGTAGTTTTAACACAGTTTACAGTGAATGTCATATAGAAAGGAAAGGACAGACAAAAGTAACATAACTGCTACCTTGAAATTGTAACAGATGTAGGAAATCTCCAGGGGAACATGAGATGAGTAACGCCTTGTTCTGACATCCTTCTTTCACCTCATTTCTCAGAATAAAGAATTTGAGTCTCATAAAAAAATATTCTAAAAGCACACAATATATAATAGATCAAGTAACATTTTTTCTGTCACAATGTCCAAATTAAAGTAAAGTAAAGCTTACACACCATATATCACTTATTATCAAACTTTGAATTATGGTGAAAAAATTGCCGCCAATACGTCCATTTTCATCAAAATTTTGATTTTTAACTTCAAAGCTGTAGATAGATTTGAAACATCCCTGTCTCCCTGACAACAGTATAATAGAGAATATATTTGATTTATATTGCATGTCATAAACACTAATTGTTTCATAATCATTGTACAGTACTCATTAGGGCTTCCATCCAAAACATTTAACCAACGGAAACAGATCAAACTAGGACAAAGGCAGACACAAGATAATTGTGTTTTGGAGGGATGTAGCTGTACTGCAATTAGACAATATCACAGATCATCTCTTTCTTACACAAACTGTCATGTCAACGTGAGGTAATGTTCCATTACAGTGTACAAAAAAAAAATGTTTTTCTTACATTTCAGCTCTAAAAGGCAAACCTTTAGTTAAAGACTGTTTTTTGGGGGGGTGATGGGAGATAAAAGATTAACATAATTAGCCAAATTGTAAATAGTATATGTATAGCACACAGCAGGTTGAGAGGAAATATGTAAAATATTTTATGGTTCAACAAATGTTAATGTGCAAAATTTCTATTAATTTTTTCTGCTTATTCATAATAAAATATAAGCAACCCACTAGGCTGAATTTCTTTGGACTGTATGCTAACATATTGTTTCTGTAATGTCTTAAAATGTCATGTCATGACTTTACACTGTGTGTATGAAAACATCATGTAATATTACACTCTAACATGCTTAACCATGGAGAAACATTCATGAATGTCTACATTTCCAGTCAACTGCAGCAGCTCCAACGTGGCCTCTTTGATTTGTCAAGCTATCAGTTAGCACAATTAGCTTTAAGGTACTTCTGCTCATTGTTAAGACTACCCCTGAAGGAAAAATAAACTTTTAGTAAAGTGTAAAAAAAAAATGTATAAAAAGTAAATTAACCAAACCATAAACTCTTGAAGTAATAACACAAAAACATTTATTTCTGTTTGAAAAGTAAAGACATACAACAGTCAGTGATATAACAATAATTCAGACTAGCTGCACTTCACCATATTAACATGGCAGCCATTTTACCTTGATACCACACTCATGATGTTTAGCTCAAATGTTGTTAAATAGACACCCTGCATTTACACATTTTTCAACCTGAAACATACATATATTATAACAGCTTTTCAGTTTCCCACTTGAAATCAGAAGAAAATGGCCACCATGAATATGGTCAATAGAAGTTATAGCATTAACTAATTTGTCCTTAAGAACACTTAACAATCCCAACAGCCTATAAGGCATCCTTGCTCCTGAACAAAGCCCAAATTGTCCTACATCAGCCTGAATGAGCCTCAGGTTTAGGAATGAACCTTTAGACTCAAAGAAGCAGGGTTAGTTTGGCAAGGATAGCCGTACTAAGGAAGGAAGTCCAATGGATGTCTTTGTCTCTGGCATAGGTTGTAAACATTTAGTCAATAATAAAAATGTCCTTGATGCATCTCCGGCATTAATTCATATATCTTGCTCCCTGACATCTTTGCCAACAACCTCTTTTTCACTTTTGTCCATTTCATACTTATTGTTTCCATTCATTGTCACACTGTTACATGCTTGTTGAGGGGCTGTTGGAGGTGTTAGTTCGGTGCTAGCGTTTGTGTTCAGTTTGTCTGGGACAACATCCTCATTGTCAATGAATCTTTCATCCTTTTGAATGCCATCACTGGATGCATCAGGGGACTTGGTGGTAAAATGTCTGATTGCATACCGTCTGTATGCTTTCTGGATGACGATGGCTGACGTGTCCTCCTGCTTGCGCCGGAGGGTGGTAGTGATGGGCTCGTAGGACAGTTTGGAAGGATTGGAGGCCATGAAGCGTTCTTCCATCTGAGCCCTTAAAATGTCCATCTCCCCACCCTCGCCCAGGACACGTTTTGTGAATGCAAACAGGATGTCCAGGCAATGAATTCGTTCACCACTCACCATTGGTAGATCCATAGAAATCAATTCAAGCTTGTTAGGCTTGGCTATGCGCAATGGTGGTTCCAGTTCATCTGCAAACTCTGCCAACTTCTTGAACTCAATGAACTGTGTTGCGTGAGGATCAAAATTTTCCCACACCTCATAAAACATCTCAAAATCATCCTCACTTAAAGGGTCCGCGCTCTCCTCAGTGGCCACACCAAAGTTTTCCAGGATGACTGCAATGTACATGTTAATCACAATCAGGAAACAGATTATGATGTAACTCACAAAGAAGGCAATTCCCACAGTCGGGTTTCCACAGTCTCCTGTGCCAGGACTGCCAGGATGCTCCAATTCAATGTCACAATCTTCCTTGTTTTTGTTAAGAATTGGATCTAGTAAATCACTCCATCCTGCCGACGTTGTGATCTGGAACAAACAGATCATACTGTTGCCAAATGTCTCGAAGTTGAAAAGATCGTCAATTCCTTTTTCCCTCTTGACGTACGCAAAGTTTGACATGGCAAAAATGGCGTAAATAAACATCACAAGGAAAAGCAAGAGCCCAATATTGAACAAGGCAGGAAGTGACATCATCAATGCAAACAATAGCGTGCGGATTCCTTTGGCACTTTTGATCAGGCGGAGGACGCGGCCAATCCGAGCCAATCGGATGACTCTGAACAAGGTTGGCGAAACGAAATACGTCTCTATCACTTCCGAGAGAAACATACCTAAGGAAAAGAGCAAAACATGTAAAAATAATAATACATGTATAGTGACACAATAAATAACTCATATTTGAGAGTAACAGTGAACAGTCATACCCATGATTGACAGGATGACCACAATGAAGTCAAATACATTCCAACCATTTGTGAAAAAGTAATGGCGGAGTGAGATCATCTTCAACAAACACTCTCCAGAGAAGATGACGATAAATAATAAATTGATCCACCAGAGAACGATGACCTTGTTTTCTGACTGGTCATCAGTTTCCACCATCATAGTCACCATATTGAGCACTATTAGTACCATGATTAAAATATCAAATGCTTGTTTTGTAGTCAGGTCAAAGATGTATCCTTGAATGTTGTTCTGAAATAGAAACAAGGAAGGAGAAATAAAGACACATCTTAAGTTCTATGATAAGAAAAATCTGATTTTTAATGTAGAAAAATGGCACTTTGAGTAAAGCCACATACTGATGGTCGAGGAATAGGTTTTTGTGGTTTCTTTGACCCCAACTTTTTCATGGCATTGTAGTATTTTTTCTGTTCTTCAGTCATGAAGATGTCTTGACCTCCTAGGTAAAGAGGCAATGGAAGACGAGTTAAATCACAGATCCGTTTATTGCGAAGACACAGCAGAAATAGAAAATTACCATTATTATTATTATTTTTTTTAAAGGAAGGCATTTTGCTCTAACATCAAGTCAAAATCTTTCGTTTTAGAATTAGAAAGCAAGGTTTGATACTTATCTTTTTTTTCTGTTGATTGAAATTGTCTATGATGACACCAATAAAGAGATTGAGTGTGAAGAATGCTCCAAATATGATGAAAACAACAAAATACATGTACATTTTTAGGTTGATCTCATACTCAGGCTGTTCGTCTACCTATAATAGTGACAGAAAATAGAGATATTAATACATTAAAGTTATAGTCATAGTCACTATAGTCATATAGTTCTGGGTCATTTGGCAACTGGTGAAAAACAAATAGTTCTTAATTCTACATGTTAGAGAATACCGAACATTCAATGGTAATCGCAAACTCAAGCGGGTTTGATAAAAGTTACAATATAATAAAAGTCCCATATTGAAAATGCTTTTGATGATGATCATTCTACAACAGCACCAGTTTTTTGCACAACAGATGGGCATACAAATCTAGAGATATGTCTCTACTAAAGTACTTAGCATTTGAGATTGACCATTTTATTTTTTCTCCCTCAGTGTAACAAAACGCAATTGACCTTCTTTGTTAAGTTCTGATATGAGTCAAAGCTGAGCACCTAGCGATTAGGTCGCGCCCCATGTACAGATGCTATAATCCTTCAAGCAGATGACCCGGGTTCAAATCCAACCTGCGGCTCCTTTCCTGCATGTCATTTACTCCCTCCCCTGATTTCCTACTCTATCCACTGTCCTATCCAAATAAAGGCAAAATCTTACTTTTTACTCTTTAAAATTGGCTGTGTTAAAAAAGAAGCTACAATGATATCACAAATGTTGTCTGATATCACACACATCTCATGCATTGTTTTTTTGTGAGATATTGAGGCAAAAAAAAACTGTAGCATACAAGATTAGCTAGTCATGAACTTTTCATTACCTCGCTTTGAGAGTCCACAGCAGCGTACATGATATCCATCCAACCTTTGAATGTAGCCTGTACAAAAATGAACAATATAATATTGAAAAAGCCTATGAATCATTTCAACATTGCCTGTTTTTTTAACAAAGAAGTGTACATGTCATGATTCAACAACTTACTCATTTTACTTCACACTTACCACTTGAAGCAGTGCAAGGTAACCAAAGCCAACATTGTCAAAGTTGATTTTGACATTTTTCCAGCGGCTACCATTTAGGTTTGTACAATTAAGCTTGTTTTTCACAAGTGATGTAGGTATATTCTCATCTGTAGTTTTGTTGACACAATGGTAGAACTTCCCCGCAAATAAGTTGACTCCCATGATGCTGAAGACGAGCCAGAAGATGAGACAAACCAGCAGTACGTTGAAAATGGAAGGAATGGCTCCCAGTAGGGCATTGACAACCACCTGCACGCAAACCAAAACATACAATCCATGAGTTCAGCAGGAAGAGGTCCCAAAATGTAAACCTTATGTATACTGTGGCGATGGTAAGAACAGGAGAACACAAGAGTGAATGCTTCAGAGCCAGGAGCTCATCACAGCTATGACAAACACCAAAGCTCAAACACGATGATATCTGCATTTTTAAGGTGGGGAAAGAATTAGGAAAAGAGGGAGGGAAAAAAATGCTATTTATCTAAGAGCATTTCTATGGGGTTTCTTCTGAGTTTTATAGAAATATTAAAACAAGACACCTTGTAGAGGCGAGATGACACCACAAATTGTGATTACTGTAAACAGAAACATAAATAAAAGAAGAAGACATCATGTTAAAGAACCCAGCAAACAATATCCAAAACAGTGAAATCAGATAGAAAGCTAATGTAGGGCTAATAACGCACATGAGAAGCTGTTCATGCAAATAAGAGAACACGTGGCTACCACATGGTGAAAGACCATCATCTTCACAGTGCTGTAAATCTAGACCACCACAATATGAAAGTTACTAATCAATACATGCTAAATTGATTCCAGCAGCTGGCAACCCAATGCAGTTACATGAGTCATCAAACACAGTTTGGCCCATACAGCAAAGGAAAACACTGCAAAGGTTTTAAGTACTTTTTTTATTCTTGCTTAACATTAGGTTGATGAATACCTGTGTCTTATTTAGCTGTTAATCATGAACATGAAACAATGAGATGTAAGCTTAGCATAAAGACTGGAAACCAGTACACCAGACATATAGTCCTATATAGGACTATATGCAAATTTAAGACAATACAACTAGTGGCGCTTCTGGATCTGATGTACTAATAAGTCTTCTGTCATTTGAAATTATCACTGATAAGTCCGCAGTGCAAGGCAAACGGGTTGTGTTTCTTGATAATTCCTAAGTGTGTTGTGGGCAAAAACGTGAAGAAATTCATTTAGTGCCTCTCCTATTCTCTTTTAAAGCCAACAATGTAGTATTGATATAATATTCGCCTTGTTTAATAGACCTGGTTTGAGTTATTCAGGCCTCTTTTTCTGCTCTTGTACTGTGTCCCTGTACACAAAAAACACTCCCAGGCCACTATTCAAATATTGTAATGGGTGGATTGAAGTTTGAAGCAATTATGTCTCACTTTGAACACAGATTAACACTAGAAGATCAGCTGCTATTGCAATCAGGATCTAGTTAGGTTGGCAGTGTTACTCCATTATTTTAACTTTGTTGCTGGCTCATAAGGCTGTACAGTATTCATCGCTGAATGCATAGTCTCACTGGACAGTGTGTATGAATGTTTATGGACTTAAATTGCAGGTGAAATTTGAAGTTATTTTCATGACTTACAATGTTTGTGTCCCTCATGTGTGTATGTGCCATTGGGTCTGTGTGTGTCTTTACTGTGTGCTGAGAGAGCATGCATTTCAGAAAGCACATGAGGGCTCCAGCTGGAGTCTGAAGGTGAAGCAGACGAGGCGTCAGAAAGTGTGTCCTCATGTCCCCCACTCCTCTGTCCCATCAACAACTCCATTTGACCGACATCAGAAAATGCACAGATATTAAACTGAGAAGTATGAGTGCTGCTGTGCATCCAAGTGTGCGTTGTGACTAAGATAGTGTATCTTTCCATTTTAATGATGTGACCTTTAAATAGCAGGTAAATTACTGTGCCATTGACTTTAGACCAGGTTTTAGTTGATGAATGGCACATTCACTGTCTGAACTACAAGATAGCAATGCGCCACCAAACACTTGTTCATGTCTCATTGTACAACCAAACCTAGGGTGCATAGAAGGCCATATGTACAATTAATATTGTGCGATGTGAGTACTGGGGTGAAAATGACTATTCTGTTACTCAGAAACTATAAATGACACGTGCAGCGCCTCATGCCTTTGCTTTCTGCGTGGTGTAAGACAGGGCCTTTTGTTTTTTATATGGTTTTAATAGGTTAATTAGCTGATGATGTTCATGGGAGGACTTGATTTACCTTTGAATAGACATCTTTGTCTTCTACCCTGTTACCTGCTAAACTTGTGTCCTATATGTTGAACAGTCAACAAGAAAGTGAACCAGTACATTGCCTAAAATGTCAAATTACTTTGTTGTTGGGAACTCTGCACCAACAGTGTATACACAGAAAACATGATGATTAAAGTGGTGAGGTAATCAACTCTGAAATAACAGCTGGAGAAGAGGATCAGGGAAAAAGAGGATTGCTTCATTTACATGCATCACATTGTTTAGGGGATTAACTCAATAGGTCATGCCAAGTCTTGAAACTTCATACTGTTTTAGGACTCCAGAGTCTGTTTTCTGAACAGTGTTATAAACTAGTATTAGACAGTGCTCTGCGACTGGTTGGGGTAATCAAGTGACTCTTACCCTCATGCCCTTCGAAACGCGACAAGGCTCTCAGGGGCCTCAGAGCTCGCAGTGTTCTTAGAGACTTGATGGCACCAAGGTCAGAATAGTTCATGGAGTTTGCTACCAAACTAACCAGTGAGACCTAGAACACAAGGAAACACTGATGTTAGGTCATTCGCTGGGCATGGAAATACCTTAAGAGATCATTTTCAGGTACTACTTGTCACGTTCAGGGGAAAGACAAGGAACAGGACCCATGTGCAGAATTAACTAAATATATTTAAAATAATGATCCACAACAGGGGCGCGTTGGTGGCGCAATGGTTAGGGCGCGCGCCCCATGTATTGAGGCTGTCGTCTTGAGTGGGAGGCCAGGGTTCGCATCCACCGTGGCCTCCTTCCACATGTCATTCCCCACTCTCTCTCCCTGGTTTCTGACTCTATCCACTGTCCTATCTCTCTGCATTAAAGGCACAAAAGCCCAAAAATAAATCTTTAAAAAAAAAAAAAAAATCCACAACAAAAACTTACTATCAAAATCCAACAGGAGAAAACAAGGAGCCACAAGGAAGCACAAGGAGACACTAGTAAATTGGCGACCGACATAGACTGACAACTAACATTCGACATATGACAAATGATAAACATACAATGAACTGACACAGAGGGCAAGAAACACTGAGGCTGTGTCCAAAATCACTCCCTATCCACTATATAGTGGACACGCCATTTTGTAGTGCTGTCTGAATTCTGAGTGAGCATGGCCATACCCTATATAGTCCACTCAGTGTATCCCTCAATGCATTTTGAAAAGTAATGTATGAGCCATGGTCACTATGTGAGCAATATATACCATCATGCATTGCGATTCAAAAGATTTTTACGAGCGGAAAGTGGCGTTTGACTCGGCTGCTCTCAAACAGACGAGAGGAGCGACCAGCATGAACACAGAAACTCAATAAAGTTCATATTCAGAGCGTTTTACTGAAATCTATGATCGTTTTTAATAAAGATTAAAAGATCGTCAACTTTAGTGATGTTAGTTTGTCCTAATGATGATGACAGACAAGAAACCAGAGTCTGTGATAATAAATAATTTAGTTTCGGTCCGAAAACATGTTGTTATTGATGCTCGACCGCTGTTAAGCTGCGCGTTTCAGTTGCGTGACAACAATGACGTCACTGTCAGCGGCCGGTGAGTGAGCGAGTAGTGTCCGAAATGTTTTTTAATTTTGCTGAGTGAGTGCACTATATAGTCCACTGCATTAAACTCGCTATATAGTGAATAGGGAGGAGGGAATAAGTGAGTGATTTCAGACACAGCCAGAGACTGAATAGACATAGGGTAATCAGACACAGGTGAGACTAACAACACAGGTGAAGACAATGAGGGTAATCAACACGGAAGGAAACACAGAGGCAGGAATACAATATAAGAAACATGTAACATTACCAAGAATACACACTAGGACAAAGAAACACAGGTATAGGAAATACAAAATAAAAACACTAGAAACTAAGCTAGAAAACAAACTGAAAATACAAACTACATAAGACCAAAATGACACTACTACCACTCTCAAAACAAAAGTGTATGAGTATCTTATGCTTACATCAACAATGAGAAAGTCCAGCCAGCACCATGCATTTGTGAAATACTTGGCGAATCCATACGCCACCCACTTCAGTAACATCTCCAGGATGAAGATGTAGGTGAAGATTTTGTCGGCAAACTCCAGCACCGTTTTAATAGTCTTCCTCTTTTCAATGTAGACGTCTTCAAAGGCCTGGATGTGAAGGCAGAGAGTAAATCAGAAATAAACAGACATTTACAAAGAAGGCCCTAAAACAGTGTGTTAATAGGTAAGGGTGGCAAAATCCAGTAAAAAAAAAACATCAACAAGGATTCAATTGACATTTTCTTCCAATACACTCACCAGTGCTCCACTGCTGAGCAAGATCATGAAGATAATGAAGCTCTCAAACCAGTTGTGCTCCACTATACGGAAACAGGTCTTTCTCAGGGTCCACCACATCTTCCAGCGGCCCACTTCCACGTTAACTTGACAGCATTTGTACTTTTGCACACATCCTGTGATGGATCAGAGGGGAAAGAGTGAATTTTCAGCATGATAAAAAAAGTTTTACACTCAGGCTATAGCAGGTGGCACTGGTTGTATTGGTATATACAGTACCTTCAGGGAAGCAAGAATCTGGCTCCATAGCTTCTTCCAGATCAAAGTCGTCTGACTCTCCTCCCTCTCCTGCCATACCGTCCACCGTGCTGCCTTCGGAGGAGCTAAACTGACCATCGTCTTGTATGAGCTGCAGATTAAGCAGAGTAAAAACAAGTACAATAAGCAAATATAACAGATTCATGGCAAATGTAAGGGGCTGACATGCCTAAAACATGCTTCTTGCATCCCATATTGCTTTAACAAGGTTTCTTTTAGACAAAATAGTAAGACTTTTAAACAGATGACTGCCTAGAACTTAACAAGAATCATAGACATGCACTCATTTGAAAGCCAAAGCATGATGGCTTAAACCAGGACCATGAAATAATCACTATCTGCTGGACAATGTTTAACAAAATCTCCTCTGCATATTCCAATTTTTTTAAGCCAAAAGATCACACCAAACACTAGGATACTCCTACTCGATTGTTCCTATTGTCTATTCCACTGAACTCTGGTTATGACGGTCAAACAGCTGCTGTGACTTATTAGGATCAGTAAGAGTAAAAGATAAGAGAACTGTCTTGCTAGCATGATCTGTTTTCACTGACAATTGTTTGCCATTTAGAGACAAACAAACTATGCACACTACTTGTTCCATGTATTCATTAGAAATATAAAAACAAAGCATATTTAATGAGGCAGAACAAAGTTATTAAAATGTGAATGCCTGACCCTGTTGTACAGTAGCAACATGGTCTCTACTTCAGCCTGTTGTTGTATGGCTTTCTACAGGGTGTGTCTGCTAATAGCTGGTAAATGAGAACAGACTGAATGCCTTCCTGGAGCATGCAGGAGCACTTGGCTGCCCTGGGACCAGCTAATGCAGTGCAGGGAATGAAGTAAGCATGTTACTGTGAAATACTGTGAGCATCAGAGTGTTTGAGTTGTTGGTTTGTTCTACTGTACTGGGCGGGAAATGCGGCATTAAGAGTTTATAGTTGTTTGTTTTCATGGCGCAAAACTGCAAAAAAACTTTTTTATCAAAACCCCAGAATATACAAAGGTGAAAACACAAAAATGAATTATGATAGGGCCGCTGGTGATTGATGCACATGCCCCGTGTATGGAGGCTGTGGGGTGGCCCAGGTTTTGAGTCCAACCTGTAGCTGTCATTCCCCTCTCTCTCTCCCTGATTTTCCGACTCTATCCACTGTCCTATCTCTCCATTAGGGGCACGAAAAGCCCAAAAATAAATCTTTGATACAAAAATTACGATACAATTAAATCAATAAAACCAAATAAAACTATTAGTGAAGTCAATGAGAAAAGGCAAAGTGAGTCTATTGCATACATTTAGATAAGAACAGGTTTTCCTGGAGATATTATAGTCAGTACAAGTAAGTACACAAGCTAACCAGCCCCTTTAAGAGTTGGATTTAGCTCCAAAGCACTCAGGCCTAATTGGCACATAATGTAATCTCCAGGCCAGTATTTTCCCCTCTATATGGTTTCTTCATGCATAGAGGGTTGTGGTATATGGGATCTTTAGGGGAAACGTGATGTCACTTACTCAATCCTCATTGACATGGGTCGTGGGCAAAGTGTTTCACTAGATCACACCACTTAGACACAACAGCAACAGATACAAACGCAGAAACCCACAACTGAGTCTTCATACATCTTAAACTTTAGTCATGCGTAGCCAGAAAAAAGAGCATCCCTACCACACGACATCCGACTGCATCAGACGAGAGGCTGCTGAAGTCCTCTGTGTTTAGGTTTTCAAAGTCTGACTCGCCCACAGCAATGGGAACAGTCACAGTAAGACTGGGATTGTTGATGAATGACATTATTGAATCATCACTCTTGCTGCTTACGATGTATTTGTCTCCATTTTTGCCCACCCCGGTAACATCCCCATTTCCTTTTCTGGGAAAGTCTTTGATTGTGTGGTTTGGGACACAATTAGTTCCTAAAGGTTTATGCAGTTCCTCCAGGGATTGGTCCTCCGCCTTCCCTTTTTTCCTGTCTCTGAGACAGAAACGGCTATAGTGACTTCGAAGTGCTGACTTAACATAGGCGATGCCATTTTGGATCCGTCCAATGGCAATCTGCAAATTGTTCATCTCGTTGTCATCTTCAATCGATGCCAGGTTGTCAGCACTGAATGAACTCAGCAACAGGGCCAGGAACAGGTTCAGCACCTATCAGATAAAGACATGACTTTGTTTAAGTTTGCATTAAAAAACACATAGTCATACAAAAGGCACATGAATTGACCATAAGAGATGATAATGTACCACAAGGTTTCCAATAACCATGACCATCATGTACACAGTGAGGCACATGGGCGTCCCAGCCACCTCCATACAGTCCCACATGGTCTCTATCCACTCTCCACAAAGCACTCGGAACACAATGAGGAACGAATGAAAGAAGTCACTCATGTGCCAACGGGGCAGAGTGCAATCTTTAGAGATTTTACACACACAGTCCTTGTAGTTCTTTCCGAACAGTTGCATGCCCACCACAGCGAAGATGAACACGATAATGGCCAGCACGAGCGTCAGGTTGCCCAAAGCCCCCACTGAATTACCAATGATTTTGATAAGGGTGTTTAGAGTGGGCCATGATTTAGCCAGCTTGAATACTCTCAGCTGTAAAAAGACAAGAAAGAAATTTTATTTCACATATCTATAGACTCAATATACACGTTAAAATATTGACAATGATACACATATTAAGACTTACCAATCTGAATGATCTCAGGACAGACATGTTACCCCTTTTTTCCAAAAACAACTCCACCAAGCTTAAACTGACAATGATTGCGTCAAAAATATTCCATCCCTCCTGGAAGTAATGATACGGGTCCATAGCGATGATCTTAAGGACCATTTCTGCAGTAAAAATCCCAGTGAATACCTATTTTGGGGGGAATAAAACAACAGATGTGCCAAACATTGGTAGATGCAAATTTCAGGAAAAAAAAGTACTAATTGTAGTCGATAATCTACTCACATAATTCCCTACTTTTAGCATTTCAGAGAATTCACTGCTCATTGGGTAATGCTCCATAGCCATGAACAATGTGTTGAGTGCAATGCAGAGAGTGATGGTTAAGTCCGTAAATGGATCCATCACTATCAGATTAATCAACTTCTTGATCTTCAACCAGGTTGGACAACATTCCCAGACAAGGAAGGTGTTGGCAAAATCGTACCAGCAAGGAGGACACTTCTTCCTTGACTCTTCAAGCTCTGATGCACACAATAGAATAAATAATATAAATATATATCAAAAATATCTGATATTCATGCCATGGTGAAAACACCTACCCCCCATTGTGCTCGTTATTACACTAGTAACACTCTGCAATCTCTGTCGGGCCTCTGGGCCCTCAAGGAAGTCCATACACTCTGGGTTTGTTCCTCCACCTGTGTCAGTGGTGTCAGCCTGCAAACAGAAAGCATTGTTAAAGATGCAACTGTGCTACAGAAAGAAAAGTAAATGCTAGTATGACTATACAGTAAAAACAACCAGGTAGATATTTGCAAGTATTTTGCATAATAAGCTGTGAAAGCAAAACTATAAAACAAACAAAAGGAATTCTGTATTAGACAGTTACATTTTTCCACCCATAGTTTACAAGAGTAAAAAAATATTTCAGTCAAGCTCTCTGTTATTACCTGCCCCAATAAAGATGCTCTGGCACTGACCTAACAGGCATTTCAGAGGTTGGTAGTTGAGTTATAAAATGTGTAGTTTTATCCTTGAAGCTTTAAAGAGATTTTTAAAAGTTGCTCATTGCTTCTATCTTTATCAATGATAGCTAGCAGGATGACAATTTAAATTTGTAGTGAAATATCTCAACAGCTATAAGATGGATGTTCATAAATCTCGGAACACATTGGACCTTATATGCAAATGGACAAAGGAGCCTTCTCCTGTTTGACAAAAATGAAGCCAAAATACCCCCGTAACAGGTGCTGACATCTTGCAAATTTGAAACCAGAGTCTGCTCAGTAGAGATGGGCAGGAAGTGCAGCACTAACAAAAACATATTACATACACATACGGCAAAAATACCTCAGGTGGGTACAGTCCACAGCAGATTAGATTTTTGTCAATTTGAAACAGACACTCATATGGATGTTCAATGACTCTTGTGTTTGTGTTCATTACGCTTCCTCTAGCCATTTCTGCTGTACTCTGCTAATCTAGTGTTCACAGCACTGCAGGAGCTGCATTTGTAAACAAAGCTGTCAATCATGGCATTGCATACCTTATTGTAGCATCAATTAACTAATAGAAAATATTTTATTCAGAAAAAACCTGACTATAACACAAAATTGCATTTGAATAACTAACATGATGAAACCTATTTCAAGAAAAATGTATCTGATGTGCATTTTGATTTTCATAGTTTGAACTATCCCATCTAGTTAGATAGAAAAGGTGGGGTTTATGACTTTTACGGCAGCTAGTCAGCAAGGGGAGATCTAAATCTCTTGGTGTTACTTGATGCGGGCGAAGTAGTCCGTTGTCCATTGTTTTTACAGTTTATGGTAGCCTACGGATACATTTGACCCAGAGAACTAATTCTAATGAATTTGGGGTCAGCATCAGATCAAAAGTTGTATTAGTCAAATACTTTTACCCAACTGTAATGCATGTTATGTGCCCATATGTAGATCTTGCTCAGCTAAAATGCTACATCCAGATGGTAAAATTAGTAGACTTGATATAAGCGTGTAAGCATTTTTACTGTGAGCAAGTTAACAAAGCAACATTAGCATTTAGCAAACATGCGTTAACAAAAAACAAAAATTTCATTTTGATGAAGAAAATGCAAGAAATAATCAATATACCATGCAAAATATTTCCTTAAGTAGTATTATACAAAACAATAGCTGGACTTTGACATATCAGTCATTCTAAAAAAGCAAAATTCATGCTTAATGAAGCAACATTTTGAAGCGTGAATAGCTCTTTTGGCATGCGGTTTTAGTATTAAGCACAGACAAATGTATCCACTTTGGCACCAACAAAAATGATCAATAAAAGAAACAACGTTTCAACAGAAATGCATCCAAAGATTGGTATTTAACATACCGATCACACTGAAACCAAAACATGCTAAATTGATTCGAAGTTGAAGACCGCCCACGATGAACAAAGAAAAAGAAGAATGAAGAAAGAGCTATAAGCAAATGAAAAGGGCCTTATGTTCTGGGCTTCCCTTTCTTACATTGTCTCCAGTAGAGGCCGTATCTACCGTCACTTTTGGCAAAAGGAGCCCAACAGGTGAAGATGGGAGTGAATTCCATCCCATCAGAGACACAACTCCATTGCAGTCTACAGAGCTATGTTTGATCCCATTGGTTTGAAGTAAGAAATTGGGCAAGAAGCTGCCCTGGCTCACACTGCTGCTGTTTCGATCACGACTGGTGGGGAAAAACAGTGAGCCCCTCCGACTCAAGTTGTCATCAAAAATGCTGTTCTCATCATCAGCAAACTCATTTTCTGACCCCATGTCCTGTGCTTGGCTCTGGAAGCTGAAAATGCTGGTTCTGCTGTTCCGTCTGGGTGAGAACAGGGGGCCACGAAAACTCAGAAAGGACTAGGAGAGAAAAATATTCTTCAGTGGACACCTGATACTGCTCGTACAGAGGCAGTTATATCCATGGCAACAATCATTACATGTATAAAGGAAATACTAGAGAGAGCATGGCAGGATGATGACGATGAAGAAGATGATGATATTGATGATGAAGATGTTCATGACCATGATAATATTGTTGATGGCAATGATGGGGATAATGATGATTATAAGAATGATGAAGAAAGAAAGGTAATGATGATGATCATAAATATGATTATGATGATGATTAATCATTATTATGATGATAATGACAAAGATGATGAAGAGAAAAAGATGATGATGATCATGATGACTATGGAGGTGATGATGATGATGATGATGGTGATGATGATGATGATGATGATGGTGGTGATGATGATGGTGATGATGATGATGATTATGGTGGTGATGGTGATGGTGATGGTGATGATGTGATGATGATGATGACGATGGTGATGATGATGGTGATGGTGATGTTGATGGTGATGACGATGACGATGACGATGACGATGACGATGACGATGACGATGACGATGATGATGGTGATGATAATGATGATGATGATGATGATTAAGATGATCATAACGTTGGTGTTATTATTGTAATGAAAGTCATTATAATGATATACCTTGTTATAAGAAAAAAAAACATCTTGATAGAATAAACAAAGTACATGGCTGTCAAGAAGAAAAGATGGATGATTATGATGAAGAAAAGGAAAAAAAATGGTTGTGACACCAGTATCAGAATATTTTGTTTTTGGCCACATAAACGGCATGATATCAAAGTAATCACAACAATTTAAGCAACTTATGCAAATCACGCAATGTTTAGCAACTGTCCAAAACACACAATAATATTTTAAAATCAAACACTTCCACGTTAGAACTGCTTGGAACTATCAGCAATTCAAACAGATGTAAAGGAAAGTTTGGTAATTGCCTGATCAATCCATTTGTTTCTCCCACTATCACTCATTGAAAGCTCAGCAACTGTTCTTATAGATAAACATTACAGAGAGACAACACACACAGTATCTTTTTTTTTTTTTTTTAAATTAAAGGCACTGCAATGTTTTCTAGGTTGTAATTTCTCTGGATAAAACATGAACATAAACAATGGAGAATGCCATATACCATTATCATTTAGGAGGGATGTACTGAAAACAAAGTATGAATTGTTTATATTTAGTAGATTCACCAAAATGTAATTCTAATTTAGGAGGTGCATATCAAGCTTTAATCCAGGCAACATTTCTAAATGAAGAGGTAGATAAATATGACAGTTCCATTAAAAAATCATACTGACAGATTGTACTGAACCTGATGTGCTGTTGAGCATTTCATGTCATAGTTGAGCAGGTTTGCATCCACTGAGAAGCGGCAGCGACCTTTCTTCACACTTTCTTGGGACTCTGATTGAGCAAACTTCTCGTCAGCTCCTTTGCCCTGCTCCTCCTTCCTTTTCTTCCGCCTGTTGCGTCTCTCTTTGGCACTTTTGGAGCTGAGCTTGGAAGTGCCAGAAGAGCTCTCAGTCCCTCCAACGTTGTCGCCGACCCCTCCACCCTCTGCAGCAGCTGCAGATACTGCCGCCTGATCAGGAAAGAGGGAGCAAAGGCAAACTCAATCTTATAAAATAAATCCAGATATTGCAATATTGTTGTCATAGAAATGTTTACCTGGATGAAGAAAAAAAAAAATTAAGCAACTTATTTTGTACTCCATTACAGTTCATTTAAGCATATTACATTTTATACACAACTATATGTAATACAGCTTTAGTTACTCGATATGTTACAGATTAATAATGTAGAATTAAAACAGATTAAGGGTACCTATATGTGTATATTTATATGCTGCAGTGATGGTATCTTGGATTTTCCATTACCTGGGCTTCCTCTTGCTGCCGTTTCAGCTGCTCAAGCATAGCCTGAAACTCCTCCTCCTTCTCCTTCGCCTCCTTTATGGTGGCCTGGCTCTGCTCCTCATAGGCCATAGCAACTACAGCCAAGATCAGGTTGACCAGGTAGAAAGAACCGAGGAATATCACCAGCACGAAAAAGATCATGTAGGGCTTCCCAGCTGCCCGCAGCGTCTGGAAGGAAAAACATTTTTTTTTTTTGTGCAAAGAGCAAGAAATGAAGTTTTAAAATGACAACCATAACGTTTGGCTGCAGTTTAATGGTCAGCAGAGTGTATGTATGTGCCTCTGCCTCTTTATCCGTTTATCACTATACAAACATATATATTTAAAAAATGATTTTTCCAGAGAAGAAAATAAACTCCATAACTTTCTCCAGAATAAGAAACTTATATAACCAACTACATCTAATTTGTTAAGTTGCCTTGTGTCAAATGATATCTAATTTATCCAGAACAATAGTAATTGTCATAGAAACATGAATGCGAACAGTTGGATGTTTTCCTGATGTTTTTGTTGGTAATTACTAAACATTTTACCGTCAGGAACTTTAAATTTGGATTTGGTTTTCAATCAAAAAAAAAAAAAAAGGGAGAGAAACAATGAAAAAGAATCTTATAGAAATCCGCTGTTCCATATCATGACCAAAACACCAACACATAAAAGGGCTTGTTCATTGTCACCAAACAAGTAATGCTACCCGACTACAAACAGTAGTGGGAGCTTTGCTGTATACGTGTTTGCTTTACCTGCTAGATATTATAATGTTAACCAGCTCCATTCAGTTGACGGCTATCTGCCCTTAAGGCTATTCAAGCTGTGTTTACTTGAGTAGCCGTGGGGCTCATCTTTGTGTGTTGACCAAATTGCACCTGCACTTCATTCAGGTTTGTTTAATCAGTCTTTAATGCCACCATTGTAATGCTAGAATGCTTTGTCTTTGTATAAGCCACACCTTAACATAGGAAGCACTGCCTGTACTTGTATTTACAGAAGCGTACAGATCGAGTGTACGCTAACATTTTTATAAATCTGCCACTAAACCAGTTCAGCTTACTGGGTCAATGAGCAACCAGAGGACCAAGAATGAACCTATGATGGCTTTTAAGGTCACATCTTTACACAAACCTGAGCTACAAAGGAAAATGTGGACTAACATTGATCCGAGGTAATGACTCAATAATTTGAAAAAAAGAGAAGTGCAATTATTGGTAAGAACATCCCTTTAGGTACTAATGTATGTATTTTTCTCTCCCTGTGCTGTGACCTTGCCGTGGTGGAGAGGCTTGCGTGCTTCTATGATCCTGAGAGCTATGCTGGAGGGAGCCTATGGCTCCTGGCAGGTTCAACCATACCAGACTGGTCTTGGGTGAGGAGTGAGACAAAAGGCAGCACCTGGTCCTCCAGGTTGGCGGTTGGGCGTGGCGCTAACAGCGCAACCCCGTAAAAAAAACCTACTGTTACAGAAACTAAAATGAGAAATCCTATTGACATCAGGCCCATTGTAGACCCCGGACACCCAAACTGTTTGGGTGGCAGTATGACCACTTCCGAAAGGAAGTCAGGAGTGCGAAAGAGGGCCTACTAGGGCCTAAAACCAAGATCCGCATTGGAACATGGAACATCCCCCAAGACAGCACAAGTCCTCAGTGAGATGAAAAGGTACCACCTGGACATCCTGGGGATAAGTGAGAGTCACTGGACGGGCTCCGGTCGTCAAGTCCTGAATGATGGGTGTGTCATCCTCCATTCTGGCCATCAGAACACCCACACACATGGTGTAGCCATCTTAATCTCCAAGGAGAAGGCTAAAACCTTGCTGGAGTGGGAACCAGTAAGTGAAAGGCTGATCCGAGTACGCCTCAACTCAAAGTACTGTAAACTCACCAGCTTACAGTGCTATGCACTAACCAACGAGGCTGAGAAGGAGGTCAAAGAAGACTTGTATGAACAACTGCAAATGGCAGTTTCAAAGGTACCCCAACACGACGTTCTTCTCCTAACTGGTGACATGAATGCCCAAGTGGGAACCGAAAATTCCAACAACAAGAGGGCAATGGGCAATGTGGCGAAAGAAACAACAATGGTGAACGCCTTGTTGATTTCTACATGAAAAACAACCTGGTCATCGGTGTGTACCATCTTCCCACACAAGAACATCCATAAGCTCACATGGCAGTCACCTGATGGTAGGACCATCAACCAAATCGACCACATCATCATTAATGGTGAATGGCGCAGGTCACTGCAAGATGTTAGAGCTTACTGGGGTGCAGATGCCTATAGCAACCACCACCTAATCGCTGCCACCATTAAACTCAAGTTGAAGAAGTCAATCCCAAAAAGCCACTGGCAGAAGAAACTGGACATTGCAAAACTCCAGTATCCAAAGAAAAAGAAGGAGTTTGTGTTGGAACTCAGAAACCACTTCAGCACGCCAGAGGCTTCCTCTGAAATGGCAGAAGAACCCACCATAAACAGCAAATGGAATACTATCAAGACCATATACTCCGAAACAGCACAAAAGGTCCTGGGCTTCAAACAGAAAGGGGCCAAAGAATGGATATCAGCTAACACTTGGCAGAAAGTTGAAGAGAGGAAGCAGCTGAAGGCAAAGACGCTGAACACCAAGTCCCAACGACTCCTCGAGAAAATCAAGATGTCCTATAAAAACAAGGACAGAGAGGTGAAGAGGAGTGCTAGGAGAGACAAAAGGGTCTTTGTAGAACACCTGGCAAGTGAAGCCGAAAAAAGCTGCAGCCTATGGAAACCTGGGCACAGCGTACAAAATCACGAAGAAACTCTGTGGCAAATGTACAAACCAAACTACGCATGTTAAGGATAAGAATGGCAACATCTGTACATCAGAGAGTGAACAAGCAGCCAGATGGGTTCAACACTTCCAGGAAGTACTCAATTTCCCTGAGCCAGAACAACCAGCCAACATCACAACAACAGAGGATATCCTGGAAATCAACACCAACCCCTCTGACTCTGCTGAGGTTAAAGCTGCCATCCAAACCCTGAAGAGTGGCAAGGCATGTGGCATAGATGCTATTCATGCTGAGATGCTCAAGGCCGACATTCCAACATCAACACGAGTGCTGACAGACCTATTCCAAAACATTTTGAACAGTGACACCATCTCTGAAGACTGGTCCAAAGGTCTTACTGTCAAAGTCCCCAAGAAAGGCAACACCAAGAACTCCGACAACTGGCGTGGAATCACCCTTCTGTCTGTTCCAAGCAAGGTGTTCTGCAGAGTCCTTCTTAACCAGATGGAGACAGCCATTGACACCATGATTAGACAGGAGCAAGCAGGCTTCAGTAAGGACAGCGGGGCATCAAAAGTCATCAAAGCAAGGCTGGGAAAGGCTCAGGGTGCCTTCTCCCAACTCCGTCCCATCTGGAGATCAAAACACTACAGCCTTAAAACAAAGATGCTCCTATACAAAAGCAATGTAAAGTCTGTTCTTCTGTACGGTTCAGAGAGCTGGCGAGTTGTCAAAACAGACATGAGGAGAATGGTAGTGTTCCATAATGGATGCCTCTGACGAATATGCCAGATCTTTTGGCCTAATAAGATCTCCAACAATGACCTTTAGAAGAAAACGGGAAGCTGGAGCATCACCAAGGAGATTACGCACAGACGCCTGAGATGGCTACATGTGTTGAGGATGGAGCAGGACCGCATCACAAAAGTCGCCTTAAGATGAACATCACCAGGCAAAAGAAAACCTGGGAAGCCAAAAACCACCTGGTGCAGAACTGTGACACAAGAACTGGAACAGATGAACCTGTCATGGGGAGAGGCCCAACATGCTGCCAGGGACCGAATACAATGGAGAGTGCTAATTGAAGCCTTATGTCCCATAGGGGACGAAGAGGAGTAGTAATAGTAGTTATGTATTTTAAAATATTCAGATGATAAAACTTGGCCATACTTTTAGAAAAGAGGATTGTGTCTGTTTGTATTATGAGTGCAAAAAGAATCATAGCCCTTTAATGAACCCTGGAATCAGTTTAATTTTCAAAAACATTACCTGTTCTCTTGCCCATTTTAGGGTCATGATAACTCGAGGATGTACACAGACAACTTATTTGAAAGATTCAAAACGTTGCTTTTCATTACCTTATACTTGTATAAATATCTGTACACATGTATAAAAGTATTCTTTCCTATGTATGTATACGTTTGTGTATGGGTAGATGTTTGACTGTATAACAGCACGAGTCATATGATTCATCTATATGAATAGATGAAATTAATTTATATATATTTGTCTCCATCCCTCCCTTTTCTCCTTTCTTTTAATATGCTGGAAAACAGCATATTTAAATTGTTATATATAAACTTTTCTTTGATAAAGTGATGCTTTATATTTATTTTACTCCTAGAAATGGCAGATTTTCTAATTCCAAAACACACCTGCTGGTAGAGGTTTTCCCAGTAATCCTGTGTCATCAGCCTGAACAGAGAGAGGAAGGCCCAACCAAACGAGTCAAAACTGGTGTAATTATAGTCTGGGTTTTTTCCATGTTTGATGCAACTGTAGCCTTCTGGACACTGCCTGCAACAAACAGATGTATCATATGAGAAATAAAATAATTTACTATTGTATCCATTCATCTGGTGGTAGGGCAATACACTTACCCAGCTTCACTGCCATTCCCACAAAGCAATGCATCTCGTTTGCCTGGAAGGATGTAATGATTAGCTGATGGGGAAAGGAGGAAAAGTTTTATTAATCGGTGGTGATTTTTCAGCAGAGGTTGCAAAGAAGACAAAGGTAGATCCAACAATCCAACATAATGTGATTAGAATAGGAGCACTGCTAATGCATCTACACGAGAGTGCTGAAATAAATCCTCTTTCTGTGAATGTTGTAGTTCAACATGGTGCAAACAAAAGCTTAGAATGACGCATGGATTATATCCAGAGTAATTGTATTGGACTTGAACTGAAAGTAGAGGCGTAGTTTCGAAAGAAGTGGAGAATATATCAACTTCTTAATACAATTAATTTATCCTTCTTATCATGAATATCTTAAATGATTTGACATTTTTTGTACAAGTGCAAGTTCTTCAAAATGAATACTCACCCGGATCAGATGCATACGTCTCCCAGCTGAAGTTTCCAATGGCTTCAATCCCATCTGTTGTGGAATTATCAATTGTCTTTATACACTTATTCTTTAAATGGCCCATAAACAGTTGTAACCCTATGAGGGCGAAGACGCTCAGACAAAAGACAGTGAGGATCATCACATCGGCAAGTTTCTTCACCGCCTGGAACAACGCTGCAACAATGGTCTTCAGGCCTGAAGGACAGAGTGTCACTTGTTACTCCAGATAATGAATTCAAAGACATTGTATGCACGTGCAAAGGTTACAAAGAGATGTCGTTGGGCTTTCTTTTTTTTCTTTTTTTTTTAAATGAGTACTCCACCAACTTTACATTTCACTCCCTAAAATTCTGGGACTCACAGCGGACATTTGAATGAAAAGGAAGAATACAACATATTGTATTTGTTGTTCCACACATTCTCATTCTTGTATGAATAAGGAGCTTACCTTTCAAACAATGCAAGATTACTTCCAGATAGCTCTGGTTTATGCTATAGTGGCAGCTAACGTAGCAATGAGTTGCTAGACTAACCTGCTAGCCTTAACTGAGGTGTTGAGGGAGGATCGGAAATATTTGGTTTATGCTCTAATGGCGCAGCCAACATACGCACGTCATGACGGTTGCAGAAGGGGAAGGTATTGGAGGAGGGAGGGAAGGTCAGAGGGGAGGTCGGAGGGGAGCTGGGGAAAGTCTCGCAATGGTTTAACTAACTTGCACTTGTTCCAACTGCTTACCTGGGATAACTGAGATAGCTTTAAACGCTCTCAGCACTCTAAATGTCCGGAGAGCTGAGAAATTGCCCATGTTCAAAAACTCTGTTGCATACCTACAGAAAAACATACAATTACGGTAGAATATTGACTGAGACAACAATACAATTTGATACACTGAAATGTTTTACAGATAGAAACCATTATTACATTGTAGTTTACAGAGCATCAGGTAAAGAAGGTCAACTGAAGAATGCATATGAAGGTTGAAAGAAGGGGATGAGAAATACTGATAATAATCTATATTTTCCTAATTAACAAATTCCATAAAAAGTTAAGAGCAAATTGATTGTCTATTTAAATCTTGTTTTTGATTTTCCAAACCCTATTATAGCCTATTCCTTTGGACAGTAGACCTCCTGTAATCACTCAATAGTGTTTTGAATATGTATCCATCCACAGATTAAAATAGTACCAAATTCCGGATTGAGAAAGTACACATTTGACTGCTAATAAGGAAACTACACAACGGTTAGCCGCCTTGAGAAGGAATTATGTGCTCAAAGTTCACTTATGAACTAATTCATAACTGATATTTTATATATGAGTAATGGTCTCAAATGATAAAATACTTTTGACAGTTTTTGACAAATTTTGACAGTTCTAAACCAGTAAGGCATGTTGTCTGCTTATGCACCTCTAACACATGCTCTATAGGGGAAGGACCTTTGGGTGAAATGATGTAACAATTGTTCGTGAATTAGAATGACTGAAGTACTCACGCCATGACAATGACACTGAAATCCAACCAGTTCCAGGGATCTCTTAAAAACGTGAATTTCCCTATGCAAAACCCTCGGGCTAAAATTTTAACGAGGGATTCAATGGTATACACTGCAGTAAAGGTGTACCTGTTGGAAACAAAATATAATAGTCCAGCTAAACCACATTTTCACTGTGTACATTTGTGAAATATATATATAACTAGTAGAGGAACTTTGGGCCCCTAAATAATGTTGATCCCCAACATCAAGGCAGAACAAAGCACAACCATATTTATTCATAACTTTAACATGTCCAGCTTGTTATATACATAAAGAGGTAAAATAAGATCTCACACATTTACGCCATCATAAGAGTAAAAAGAAAAAAAACCTGTTAGCTATTCCACAAAAATAGCTACTGTAGCTTTTTTTCATCACTTTAACCTAATCAGGGTACAAAGACTATCCCTTCATCCAGTTACTGCTACAAGATGACAGATTTTCTTCATTACTTTTTCAGAGCACATGAATTATTAATGTCTGAAAGGACCTAAAGACAATTTCAACCAAAATCTTAAAAATTTTTATCTGGAGAAAATGGCCAACCCTGCCTTTAAATAACACACTTTGATATACATACCTTATTTCACATGCATGTTTATTTAAAAATTTTTTTAGATTTCTTTATTTAAAAGGGACAACGCACATTAATTAACAAGAGCAACAAAGTCACACATGTAAATGTGCCAGATTTAGCCATGCAGGCAAATTTTTATCTGCAGTCCCTGGCAGGTTGATGACGTTTAAGAAAACATTAAAAAACATACAGGAAAATACAGCACAAAAACATAGACACAAGAAAACATAAGCATAACAAATTAAACAACACATACGCATGGAAGCAGTTAAAGTCTGTATATTTCAAAAATGTAAAATGGTTTTGATTCAAACTTTACTTAATCGTTGTTAATAATGGTCTGTGACCATTCAGTCAAAATTTGGTGACATACTGATCTTGAATTCCAGAGATACGTGTGATATGGCAGGAGCTGTCCCTTCAGGAGAAGCCTTAATTTTCACTGTTTTCAGTTTCTGGTAAGATGCAAAAAAACAACAAATAAAAGTAATTTTTTTATACAACCAATCCATTTCATAAACTAGACTGATAAAGGTATAAAAGAAATAATGTTGTGCTTTCTTCTATCTCGGGTAGGGGCATCTGGAAAAACTAAAGCCTTTTTTGGGGAGATCGTTCCTCTACTAAATGTGTAATTTAGTGTGTGAGGAAACTTACTCGACATTTTTTGTCCACTTCTGTGGTTCACTCATAGTCATGAATGCACAGTTGGCAAGAATAGTGCACATAATCACCATACTGAATAATTTGCAGGCAGTTGTCAAGGAAGCCAGTAAGCTTAATGAATAACTCTATAATCAATCTTATCTAGCAGTGCAAACACAGAACATTCACAGGACTCATGCTTATCAGATACTTGTGTTTTGAAAAGGATATGAGTGCACCAAAATCTTCATTGATATTCTTCTTATGAGGTTGAAGGGGCTCAGGAGGTACAAGGCAGGTTCGGCATTGAAGCGGAAGATGAAGTTCCCTTTGTTTAACACTATGAAAGTCTGAAAAGAAAAGATTGATGTGAATACAATAGTCACAATTCATTTCATTATAGTTTACAGAAATATCAAAATGATAGTTTCAAATTGAGTTATTCTAATATTTATACCAGTGTTTGCCTCTGTTACTGTCTGAAATGTAAATTCCAGCAGGAATGGAACCAGACTGTTGTCAATCAACAATCAATAGGCTACATATGTTCCTTCACTGTTGTATACACATCATCATAGAGCAGCTACTTTGTATTATCGATTATATCTGTATGGTTCCGATTGTTGTGCAATCAGTGAAATAAGAGCCTGTTGTCAGTTACTTTGATGGCCCGTGTGATTCAGACACACAAGTTGCATCAAATGAAGTCTATCTGCTACCATGTTAAATAATGTCATTAAGAACACCAGCCTGAGGCCGAGTGATGCATACTGTGTAGTAAAAAGTCCCCTTTCTGTCTGTAACACCGTTCATGGACTGAATCAGTCAAAGAACATGTAACCTACTTTTTGATTACAGTAGTAGGGGTCCAGGTCCTCCAGCGGTGTCGACACCATGCCTTTAGGAACATCCCCGTACAGCATGGGGAGGGATTTGCCCGCCTCCAGGTCACGGCTGCGCTTGAGCTCGTTGTCATCATTGCGTTTTTTCTTCTCCCCCTTGGGCTTGTTGGCCTTCTCCTCGGCGATCCGCTTCTCGATGACTTTGAGGGACTCACGGCTAAAGTGACGGAAGCTGTCTATACCTGGTGGTACAAGCAGCTGTGCCATCTTTTCATCCTGCACCTTCAGAGTGAGTAGCTAGCCTCCAACATGGGAAAGGCCTGCAGGGGTCAGATTGGATAAGGAGCATCTGATTAGTTGTTGTAAAAACCGCTGTTTTAAAAATCTGTGTTCTATTTCTTAATCTAACATCATACGGTATCTTATTGGGATCAAGCCATTGAAAGCATTTCTGGCACTGTATTTCTGTTGGCAGATGAGAAGTGCTTTATAATGAGAGCAGAGGAAGGTGGGTGTGGTTCTGTGCTGTAGTCAGAGATCATCATCTCAGGAAGTGGTATCCTATAATGAGCCTATAGAGGCCTGTCATACACATACATTCATGCCAGCTATGTTAAAATTAGATCTAATTATCTGCCCCTCTGTAGATAAAATTAAGATTTGACATGACAATGATCAATTCCAGGTGAGACTTGGCTCCTTTCCTCCATCCCTCAAAATGGAAAGAGTCCAGCTCTCCCTCAGACAGAGCGGAGGGAGGAAGAGATTCATCCTGCTAATAGGCCTGCCTGGTATAATGTGTGAGGCAGAGCTATGCAGTATTAAATATGAATGTACCACAGGCTGCACTGTCTCTCTCTGCCTCTGAGAGCTTTTGCCTGATCTGAATGCAACATTGTAATAGAATACTTCCACAAGCTGTGACGCTAGGAATCAATCACAAACACACAGGTCAATGGACTGCATGCAGCACTGGGTTGTTAGACATCTGAGAAACTTCTGTGACCCTTAGAGAGATGGTGAATTAGTAATACATTACTCTTGATACCATATTATTACAATTTCTTAAACATGGCTATCTACTAAATATTGTAATAAAATACTGTAAATAGTTATTAATTAACAGGAACTTAGCCTAACATTTTAAATGTGGGTAACAGTCAACACAGTCCAATTTAGCCATTATAACAAGTATTTTGAGTCAAACAACTTGTAGAGAAAAGTTACACCCTTTCAACTTGGCAAACTGAAAGTAATTTGCAATAATAATAACATTACTGCATTGATTTATATAATGAAGGTCACATATTATACTCCTATTCAGCCATTTCAAACAAGTCTCGGAGTTACTCAAAATATCCTTCCTGCTGTGTAGGAAGTGTAATTTCAGCGGTGGTCAGAACAGGCTGTTTCTGTGTCTGTAGCTTTGAATGCTAATGAGCTGCGTCTGACCACACCCCCTCTCTCAAAGAAAATGTCGCTTTGGCTTCCTTGCACCATGCCCTACCGTTTACGATGATAATGCAGACTCAGTGGGTAGAACAAACACCTAGCTGTGGGAGTGTCACCCACCTTTGTGATGTCATAAAGGGAAAATCTCCAAACCGCCCGTTTGAGCACACACTTTCTGAAAAGTGGAGCAGGCAAAAGAGAGAGGGGATGGATTTTTGTCATAATCTGCGGGATCTGTCAACAGGCTAGGGACACACAGTAGTGTTGGAATACCATGGTAACGTGCATTTTTAATAATATGTGACCTTTAGAGCTGCAAAATAAATCACAGGTGCAATGAAACCATTACAAAAGTCTGAATTTGTCTCAAAAAATGATTTTTCTTTTAATGTAAACAAGCAATGCTTTCTCATTGAAATGTGTATAACTGACCTATTGGTTGGATAAAAGGCTTATTTTGATGTAGTCAGATAAAGCTTAGAAGATGATGAATTGTTGCAAATGATGTAGTGGAAAAAAACACATTTTTAGAAATTATTTTAGATTTAGGAGAAACGTGCAGCAAACAGCAGATCGACATTGGAATATGCACTCTTTAATATTTGTTCATCGTATGTCATATTGTTATTACAATATAGAGCAACAGAATTGCATCCTAAAACTTATTATTTCATGCAATCCAACTTGGAATCTGTGTTTCTGTACAATAATACCTCACAAAAAATGGTGATACTATGCTATGCTATGTTACTATGCGCCCCCCCCCCTCCCTAATTGAAACACAGCAAGTAGGTACTGATGTAATGTAAAGTGGAGTTTGATTGAAGGACTCTAGTGATGAACTACAGATGACAACATGATTTACACGGACCACAATTGGAAGAGTCGCTGTTTTTCTAAAACAAAGCGATCGTCCCGTTGTGTGTCAGCAGAGCTGTCGTCTCTGCACAGAAACATTACAACATAAACATTCACATCCCACTTTGTTGTTTGTCTGATCCAATTATGTCATTGTCAATGTCAAATATAATTCAACACAATTCCAAAACATGTACCGCAGTCACTCAGAGCGCCAACAGACCTCAACCTCTTTATAAGACCAGGACGCCTGGCCTCCTCGTACACTTGTCAATCTGAGTCTATGAGGCCATGCAGTAATAAAGCTCCAACACAAGCTCACTGCAGACACAAACCTGTAATGCGCCTTAAAACATGACACGCACTTAAAGGGAACGAATAAGGAATAGATTTCAATAATATTTTTTTTGTTTCATACAAAACACTGATAAAGAGTTTGATGTTTGTACAGTATTCTATTGCAAAGTATGTGTTTGAATCCTGACTGGCTTATTATCAGGTACTGTATACAGTGTGTCATGTATGCACTCTTTAATTGATGATTGTTCATTAAAGAGTGCATGGCTTAACTACTCAGTTCTGGTTCAAATGTTCTTCTGCATCTCGTTCACTGATGAAACCTCTCTACGACATGATCATTTGAAAACAAATTCCCTTTATACATTGCTACTATAGAACCAAAGTATTTAAAAACAAAACCGATATAGTCTTGTTTAAAGATACTGGACCAACATTTAGTTAATAGTGAGAAAAAAAAGTTTCTAATAACTACCTGAAATAAAAAAAATGATATAACAAACATTGATTTCAAGCCAACCAAACAAGGTCAACCTGTCATTTCTAACCTCTAATGGTATGCATCAATCTGTCAATCTGTTCCCCACTCATTACCCACAAGGTGAGATATGAGCTGCCACTTTGAAGCTTCAAATAGGCCCACTTCACTTTATCTGCAACCTGTCGGCATCGTGACCTCACGCAGACCAACCTAAAATGGAGCCTTATGTTTCCCTGAACTCTCGCTGGAACACAATGTCAACACATTAGTTTGGTATTCACCCTACAGTGTCCTTCTGTTGAGCTTAAAGTGATGTCTTACCGCCGCCTCAGAGTCACCTTTAAGTATATATTAAACACTAATGCAATGTGAAACAGAAGCTCAGCTTCAATATTTAATGTCCATTAATCATTAGAAACGTCATTTCATTGACTTCAAAGTACTTCCAGGTACTTAGATGAGGTTAGAGAAGTCTGTTGCCTCTCTATGCTTCCTACCAATGAAACCAGTGGAACCAATTAAAGGATAAAGCTACTGTTGGTGTCCGTGCTGCTGTTGTTTCCTGAAAGACATATTCTAAAGAAAACTTAAATTACACTCTGATGAATAATAAACTGAAGCCTGTTTGCCCTGCATGGAAAATTGGCATGCTCTCACCAGGTCTCTTTTTCTGCATTTGGAACTTTCTCCACACATTTAATTGATCACTGAAAGCAGACTGTAAGCTACAAGCATGAGAGAATAAAGATGAGTTCACAAGAAATGTGTACTTTAGCCACTAAAAGAAGTCAAAATACAAGTGTTTGTATTATTTTTGGTTATTTTCATCACTTCACCATAAAGTCAACATGAACCCCTTTCCTTTGGAATGATGTGTGCTCTGCTCTGTATTCTATGATATCAGATCAGTTGTTTGGGTCTGCAGTTATTATAAGAGACAACACATGAAATACATTATAATGGAAAGGATATAGCACTTTAGTGAACCAGTGAACACAGAGGATTTTTTTTTCATTATTGGCTGACATGATTAGTGCAAACATGGAGACATCTCAGTGTTGCTCGTATTGTGTTGATGTTTACATTCAGGGCAGTTAAAGTCAGAACTCTGTGTAATCCATATGGTGAACAGGACGCTCTGTTTGAATAGACTGTAAAAAAAACCATAAGCGAGCACCACCTGTAATGCATAGTGTATTATGTAGGAATACAGGGCTGTTGTATGTATAGAAACATAGTGCTCAAGGGAAGGGCTGTTAATGTCAAAGTGAGTTGACACATGCAAATAATAATCATTCTAAGAGCTTTGGTTAAATCTGACTTCATGCTATGTTTCTCCTGACCAAACTGCTACCTGGTCTCTGTGTTAGCTTTATGAACATCTACCTCAAACAACCCGACTTTAAAAATCCTGAATGAACACTTTAAAGGCGAAAAAGTATTACAAATATTTTGAAAGAATTTCTTCCGTTCCAGTGACAGACATTATCACTCACACAGTAGATGCAGCCATACAAAGTGGACATCAGTTCATTTTTTCAGAACAACTTTTGAATGTTAGAGATCATCACTATAAAGCTTTTAAGCCACTTCATTAGATTTGTCTTAAGTTAAAGGCAAATTTAATTTAGCATTACCCCAGGCTGTTAAAACAGACGGTATTTAGTCAAATTAAACTGAATGGAAATCTTTTTTTTAAATGCACACCCGGTTTATTACGCTAGCAGGAACTAGCTTTGCAGCCCTGACAGAGGAAGTGTCAATGTCAGACTGCTTTTGCAATTCATTTTGTCTAAAATCTGGATCTGTTAAAAAAAAAGCGATTGAATTGACCTGAGGTACAGTTTTATAGCAGTTGGGGGAAAAAAATCACAGAGTTCATTATCAGGTTCACTTTATATTCAAATTACTCGGGCTCAACTACTGTCAACAACACAACCTAAAAGAACCAGTGTGGCAGGGACGGGTTCATACTGTTTTGATGTCTAGGTCAATACAAAACACACACGCCCATCTGTATATTCAAAGACATTTTGACAATAAGGGAACAACGGTTGGCCACTCCTGGCCCGTTAAACTGACCACCACAACAAGCTGGAACTGTAGGCCTCTAACTACGGTGTTAGAGTTAGATGTATGATTAGTCTTAAAACAACAAATTACTTTTACCTTCAGCATTCAGTACATGTAGGCCTACACAGAGTTATCCCAGGGTCCGTATCTCTGGGCTCCTAAGGGACCTGCACACTCACAGCTCTTAAGTGCTCACAACTAATGCTCTCCGCTGCCTCTCACAGACTACAGGATCAGGATCAGATCTTTTCCTATTCAGGGCGTTGGCAAAATAGCAGGTGAAGAGCTGTTAACATAGTTCTCAGGATTTAATTTATGTTTTTATTTCCATGATTTACGCCCAGCTGTACTGTGTGTGTGTGTGTGTGTGTGTGTGTGTGTGCGTGCGTGCGTGCGTGCGTGCGTGTGTGTGTGTGTGTGCACATGCCAGGCAGATAGTAGACAAACAGAAACAGCGTAGCCTCTAATTGACAGCAATCTAATAACCATGTTGACAGTCAAGTAAGCAGGAAGTCGTCTAAGATGGAGTGTGGGCTAATAATTGCTGCCATGCCCATTAACTTGTATGTTGAAGCCCATGATTTGCACTCTAGTCTTTGGCTATATGGCCAAGAGGAAATCAATCACTTTTTTTTTCCACACAGGCCTCCCAACAGAGTAATATGATAAAGATGACATTTAAGAAATATGATAGAACTTAGAAAAGGCTCCATCATATTATAAAGGGTTAAACCCCCCAGGCACTGCGCTTTTTATAGAAGAAAAAAACATTCAATACAGAAAAACAAAGAAATGTTATCAATGGAATTTTGAATGTAGCCAATACTTTATACGTCACAACTTTTTTTAGATAGATAGATAGATAGATAGATTTAAAAGACACACGTTGTTTATGTTGCTTGAACAAATAGGCTAAACCAACTTTTCTGTTCATTTTAGACACATTTCTCAGACAGCCAACAACTTTAACAGATTCTTTTTTACTCACCTTTAGTGTTCCATCCTCGACAGGTGAAACAAATAAACCGTAGAGAAAGACTTTCTGCGTGGGAAAAAAATGCTTTGATAATAACTTGTCCGTTCGTTTAAAGACTTTGAAGTATCTCAAAGCACTTCTGTTTATTTCCACGGTTTGGGCGGAGAAACAAAAAACATGAAGAAGAAGAGAGAGTGCGTTATTTCATCCGCCCCTCCGCGCAGAGTCAGAGTACTGAGCTGTGCTGCTTCCGGATGTTCCTGGGTACCAAGTGAGGGCAGAGATGCATGAGTGGCTGTGGAGATAAAATTGTGCAATCCGGCGGAGGCTATATCATAAACTAAAAGCTAAAGCCACAACTATGGATCAGTTCGTGTACTCACACAGAGTGTATGTGTGTGTGTGTGTAAGAGGAGGGGTGTCAATAGGGCAGAGCTTGTTTGAGCCATGTCTGGGCAAATTTTCAATCATAACAGTTGCTGACACAATCAATGAGAGGAAAACAGTTTAGACAAAAGAATAAGTTTGGTAGATTACATTTGTTTCAGGTGCGGGAGGATCATTTATTATGTAAAAACTCTGATGGGTAATTTGACTGTGTCAGAGCATTAACTGTAAGTCTGACGCCACCTGGTGGACACAAAACAGCAGCTCGCACAAGTGTTATCTATCTATACATACATACAGTACATAGGCCTACAAAAATAGCCTACATACATACAGAGACATTTATAGCCTAAAAAAATATTTAAATAGAAATTGACTAATGGGTTAGTAACAACATGTGACATGTATTTCCATTTTTTTTTAAAGTAGCCTATATCAGTGTGAAGTACTGAAATAAGGGAACATATTATGAAACCCCATTTATTAAAAGACTTGTATAGCCTACTTGACATGTAGACATTTAAAGCTCCTGTGAGCAGTTTTTTAGCTGGTCATAAAACAGACTGAAAATGAAATTATTCCTCCATATGACTCACAACAAAAACAAGACCATTACTAACGAGCTTGAATATTCAGGCTATATCAGTAATCTTTCATTCATTTTACCGCCATCACAGGTCGCTGTCAGAAAGAAGAATCTACAACAGGCTGCTGAAACAGCCTTATTTACTTTTTTAGGCAAAGGTTTACAGAAAGAAGTTACTTATGGTAGCTTAGATATTGTGCGTTACACGACGAGATCAGCAAAGAGATTAGATGTACTGCTTAATTCACAGGCTTCACCAAAATGGCACAAAAACGAAAGGACTTTAAGTATTTCTTCCATCAAGTTTTAAAACATCTAACTGGTTGCTTGAGCTTGAATAATGACTCATCCGCTGCAGAGGCTATGAAAGAACAAGAGTTAAAAAGACGTGTTACTAGAATGAATTGAAATGATTGTGTGTTAGACCATTTTTTTCACAATGACTTATTCAAACCACTCTCTGGTTTTGACTTTGACACAATCTCTTCTTCAACTAAACTATATCTTTTAAAGTGAGGAAGTGATAAAATTCTGGTGATTCTGGTGTGGTGGCCTCAGATTTCTCAAGGTGTGATAGTATTGCAAGAAAATCTGCAAGAACCTCTAACCTAATTTTATTAAATTTCACCACATTATTTTTTCCCAATCTGAGTTTGAGAAACAGTTCTCTCTTTTTTCTCACTGTACAGAATATCTTGACTTCTTTCCATGTTCATAAATCCGCCCCTAAACAAAGAGGTCTTTTCAAATTCAGATTCAAAGGGCAATCCTTCAATCCTTTAATTCCTCATTTCCATGCATGCGTTATGGCATATTTTGGCACCAAGTGAAATAATGCAACCTGATTTCGGAGCTAAGTTAAATACACACCTGTCTGATGTAAAGTAAAGTATGGGCCTTAGGTTTCAAGAATTCCATTTTTATTAAGCAATTCATTGAGTACATCATTCATTGCCAAGTAGTGTTGTAATCCCTCATTATTCTGTGATTACATTGTGAATACTTTGCTTTTTTTGCCCCCAAAGTTACCTATCTAAATTTGTTCCTTATATTATTATCGCTTTCGGTTGATAGTCCTTTCTCTTTGGAAAAAACAAAACCAAACACAAACAAACATCATGTTTTCTGCACTAAATAATTTTTAATTTGCAATTTGCAAAATGAAATTAATTTCATTCTGCAGAATCCTCCTTCCCATCAGAAATGTTGAGCATATAACACTTCATTTCCTTCACTCGTTGACTTTGTATGCGGTATCGTTAGTTCAAAGTTCCTTGAACTAGGCTATTCTTTTCTTATTCATATGTAGACTATTAGTCAATACGTCAAATGGCGTTCTGCGTCACAGTCTCATGCCGAGGTTTCTTCGGGGGCACAGAGGGTTAGTTTAGACTAAGTGTCAGTCGAGGCTATATGCAAACACCTCAGGGGAATGAATATAATTGTGGTAACAAGTAAACTTACTGAACTCTCCTGCCGTGGGAAAAGAGAGAGGGAGAAAGTGAGCGAGAGAGAGAGAGAGAGAGAGAGGGAGAGAGGGAGAAAGTGAGCGAGAGAGAGAGAGAGAGAGAGAGGGAGAGAGAGGGAGAAAGTGAGCGAGAGAGAGAGAGAGAGAGAGGGAGAGAGAGGGAGAAAGTGAGCGAGAGAGAGAGAGAGAGAGGGAGAGAGGGAGTGTGTCCATGTAGACGAAAATTCAGACGCAAAACAAAAATGGTTTATTCGAGTATTTGCCTGATATGTCTTTTTTTTACTCTCGGGTTAATAACTCTTGCCTAAGGTCTCTCTGTCAACATAAGCAAAAATAAACTAAATATGTTTCATATGAACTGTCGCTTTGACAGTATGGTATATAGATTTAATTTCTGTATTCTACAACAATTAGCACAAAAAAAGAGCACTGACTGTTTCGTGTACGTGAAGCAGAGTAGGAAGCGTATTAGGGTACATATCAAAATTGTAGGAGTTGTCGATCCTGTGATGCTGAGGAGGTAGGAACTGACAGGCTGCGTTTAGGACTTTGACCGGTCGGGGGCGCTGTTTGGGTAAATGATTTTTTTTCTTTTTGAGAAAAAGTCCACAGACTTTCAAAACTTCATTCAATTCAGTCCCTCCACAGATATGTGAGAAATAAACAGTGTGTAGAGGTGGACAAGAAGGAAGCAAGTCAACGACCAGCAGGTGTTCAAGATGGCTCACGATGAGGTAAGTCTAATAAGACGACTCTTGTGATGGAAAACACACATGTTTGTTGTTTTACATCTTTATAAGGCTACTTCTTCGTTTCCTTTTTTTCCCAGCTTAATGATGAGGAAGAGACACCTTTAATTCCTGTGAGAAAAGATTCCGGAAAGCAAAGACACACAATGATGTCTGCGTCTTTTAATTTTATTAATTCCATTATAGGGTCTGGGATTATTGGTAAGAACTCACTTCCTCTTTTTTTTCCAACATGCTATTAAAAAACGTGTTCTTTAAAAAACTCTTCACCCCGAGACAAATCAGTGAAGTTATCGGATGTGTTTTCTACAAAGTAGTGTGAAACAAGGACATGCTTTCATGCGTTTCAGGCGCTTTCAGTCGTGAACTCTCCATATCATATGATCAGCGCCTGTTGTCCCTGTTCACCCTTCTAACTTCAACCTCATAAATGTCCTGGGTCCTAATCAGGATGACACGCCTCGGATTGTAGCTCTCACACTTTTTGCTCTTTTTTAAACATGATAAAAAAAACGAATTATAGTGTTTTTCCATTTCTGTTTTTTAAAGAGATTGTTAAATTATTATTTGATCAAATGAAAAAGTCTGCCCGGTGTTTAGTAGCACACAGCTGAATTTCAGATTATTTTGCAACACAAATTTATAATGCACTGATTGTTTTCACAGAAATAAGTAGCTTTTAATTTTATTTCAAAGTTTCTTGCAGCGTCTTAATCTCGGGGCTATTGCAGAAAGAAACATAAATGTGTTATTACTTTGCATTACATCTTTATTCTCATGAGTTCTTCAAAAAAGGGAATTTTTGAAAATCAAGAAAATGTATTTTCTTAAACTGTATGTTTCTGACCAGGTTTACCTTATGCACTGAACCAGGCGGGTCTCCCCCTTGGTCTCCTGCTTTTGATACTCGTTGGGTTCATTACAGGTGAATGTATTTTGAAATTGTTATTTTGAAAATGCAGATGTGAATTTAGAAAACGTATGTCTAATAGTGTGTTTGTATTTCATGGCAGACTATACAATCATCTTACTTATTAAAGGAGGGAACATCACAGGGACAAATAGTTATCAAGCGCTGGTGCAAAGCACGTTTGGGTTTCCTGGGTTTCTGATTTTATCTGCCCTGCAGTTCCTTTATCCTTTCATTGGTAAGTTTTTCAAACTGCAAAGTTGAATATTTGAATGTTACATCACAGAATAACATGTATTACTACCAGTGTGGTCTCACAAATAATTGTATTCTCATTATTCATTTGGAGGCTTAGGTTGAGATTTTAGGTTCTGACTTGCGATGTCATAATAGGACAGACGCTGTATTTACAACTATTTTACTCCTCAGCCATGATAAGCTACAATATCACAACCGGCGATACGCTGACCAAAGTGTTTCAGAGAATACCTGGAGGTATGCTGCTAAAGTTTCTACCTCAAATAACTGCCAAACACATGAGCAAATAGAAAGGCATCTGTTATATTCAAATGCATCAGATGATACATATGATGAAGAGTTTGACTTGTGTTTGCAGTCGGTCCTGGTCACATACTTGCAGAGCGTCACTTTGTGATCCTACTCTCAACCATTGTGTTCACGCTTCCTCTCTCACTGTATCGAAATGTAGAGAAGCTTGGGAAGGTAAATCTGAGTTACCACACGATTGTCGTTTTGCATTGATGTATTTTGAAGCTGCGTGTAAAACACCCTTATGTGTCACCAGGTGTCCCTCGTGTCAATGCTGCTGACACTTACCATCCTCATCATCGCGATCATCAGAGCAGCTACCTTTGGGCCACAAATGTAAGAATGGACAATCTGCAGTTTTCTAATCAGTAATCAAATGTTTCTGTACTCCTTGATGACTGAATATAAAAACATTTCTCTATAGCGTGCCCACACAGAACGCCTGGTCCTTTGCAAATTGGAACGCAATTCAGGCTGTCGGTCTCATTTCCTTTGGTGAGTTTATTTGATTTATATGATTGAGATGCCTCAAATATCTCCAGCAGTTTGTTGATAAAAGAAAAACATATGAGTGATGAATAGCAAAAACATTGAAAATGATAGAAGAAATGTGTGAATATCCTCATATATCTGAAAAGAGAATCAATGTGTCTCCTAAGAGAGTTAAAAGCTTCTAAAGAAATATAAAATGAGATAGGCCTACTTAGACATGAGGCATTAAGCTGTCTAAGAAACAAGCTCTGACCAAACTTATTCTTAATCTTAATCACAGACCCAGCTTTAAGAGCTGACCTATGACCTTGTGATGAATGCCAAACATCTATCAAACTAAAGAGGAGTGGGTGGAGACCAAAACAAGTCCCATGACTTTTGGATCTCTATTTGCTTGGAGGCAAAAAACTCCAGATCGTTAAATAATGTTGAAAACATGTTCCCGACAAAACTTCACTTGAGGCCTCTGAAAATGTGGCTTGGAATTTAAAAGAAATGCTCATATAATGAAAGTTTCATTAAAGCTTATTTCTGAGTAAAGAAAAAAAGTGTCAGAGAAGAAAGTTATAAAACAGCTATTGTCAGCTTTGACCATTTTCAAGGGTCTCAACGTGCAGCGCTGAAGTTGTAGGTTTGGGTCATCTGAGTGGTTATTAGGTAACAAAATATCAAATTTGTTCTGTTTTCCATTGCTAAACGATTGAATGATGCTAGCTACTTTCTTGTTATTACCGAACTCTCTCTTCCTCCTTGATGCTCAACATTCACTGCTGAAAGAATGAGCGACACTGAACTCAACCAGAAAATAACTGACACTCACCCCCTTAAATAAATATCTTTAATAACACACGCATAGACCTCACTAATGCTCAGTGTAAACTGCCAGTTAGCTGACATGAGAATTCTACTATGATCGGTTCAAGACAATTGTGTATAATTTTCCTAAACATATCTGCTTAATGACACCGGATTTAAACAGGATTTCAGAAAGGCATTCAGAAACTAGAATATTTTGAATTTGTATTGATTTTAATACTGTTAGATACTTAATATTAGGTACCGATAAGAACCTAAATTACACAATTAGAAGACTATCGGGGATTTTGGTTTCCAGTTGATATTATGAGAAAATGTCAGAGCTGAATGCGTGTCAGTTTGATTTGGATATTGTCTGCCTCTGTGTGGGCAGAAAATCGTTGAAAAGCAGCTTTGATTTAAAGTCATTAGATTGATTCTATCAAAGAGCCAGATTTAATTCACAGTCATTGCCTGTTCCAGCGTAAGAAATGCAATCCAGCTTTACTGCAGAGAGACTGAGACTATTAATCTAGTTGGCACACTGTCTCAATATTGTTAAGCCTTCTCTAAATCATTGCACAAGATGTCAAAGAACTTCTGTTGTAATCATGAACTGAGTGAGACTCTGTCTGTCAGTGCACCCTGTAAGTACAGGACTCCTCTGGTCTTCCAAGGTCTTTACAAAAAGTTAGACCGCAAAATCATATGAATCAACCGCCTTCAAGATAAAAGCTTCTAGGAGGTATTTAGATGTGGATGTGACATGGTCTTGAATGCAGTCAGTGTTGTCTGGCCTAAACAGTTTTAATGAGTCTTAAAGCGAAAAGATAAGATCTGTTTATGATAAAATGAGATACCCATTTTGGTTCATACAAGGTAAAAAAAAAAAAACTATACAGAGACATTTTTTTACAACAATTCTACAATTCCCTTAGCAGAAGCTTTTATCCAAAGTGACGTACATCAAGAGTAAGTACAACACTAATCCATTCATACACCACCACTGAAGTAGAGGGAACAATGCAGGTTTAAGTGTCATATCGCTCAGCAGGGGATCAAACCCTCAACCTTCAGGTTGAGAGGTGACAACTCTACCAACTGAACCACAGCTGAGACATAAATTCAAGTTGTGATTATGAAATTTATGGAGCTATGACTTTGTGTTTTAATGGCTCTTCCTTTGTGTATCTCTGCAGCATTTATATGCCACCACAACAGCTTTCTTATCTACGGTTCTCTGGAGAAGCCCACTGTAGCCAACTGGTCCCGGGTCACCCACACATCCGTGGGCTCTGCGGTTTTATTCAGCGCTGCCTTTGCAGTCGCCGGCTACATCACCTTCACTGGTTACACACAAGGTATCCACGCTAGAGCTATGTTATACTATGTCTCCACTTTTTAATAATATCTCAAATGGGGTTTTTTACTATCTCACATTTCCACTTTTCAGGAGACATTTTTGAGAACTACTGCAGAGATGATGATCTGGTGACATTCGGTCGCTTCTGTTTTGGCTTCAGCATAATAGCCACATTTCCACTGGAGTGTTTTGTTACACGAGAGGTAAGGGATACTTTCTCAACAGCAACCTAGGAATTAACTGTTAAATGTTTACACATGTGAAAGGAAAGTGGTCATCTCGGGGTTACAGTTTATGAAATGTAAGAAAAATGAAGGCCTGGTTTCTTTCACCCAATTTGCAGTGGTTTCCCAGAACTGTTAAAGAAAAAGCATCTTCTACAGGGGGCAGTGCATTTGAATTGTCTTTGTCTCCTTTCAGGTGGTAACCAATGTCATTTGCAGAAGGGAGCTTTCAAAAATGGAACATGTGCTTATAACGTCCCTTATCGTTCTGGCTTGCACGTCGTTGTCTTTGCCTTACGATTGTCTGGGAGTTGTTTTGGAGCTCAATGTAAGCCAACTTATAACATTGTACATTTAGGTTTTTTTAATAAAGCGAGTGTTTAACAGTGTTTTCTTCTGCCATCCAGGGTGTTCTGAGTGCCACTCCTCTGATCTTCATCATCCCACCTGCGTGTTTCCTCAAGCTTTCCCCTGGCAGGAAGTTACAGTGCCAAAACGTCATACCCATCTTCTTGATAGCGATGGGCTTCTTCGTCATGATCACCGGTTTGATCATGATCGGCCTCTACCCTCAAGACTGTTCACACGGTGTGGAGATGTTCTACTGTGTACAAAGCAATTTTTCTAGCACCGCACCACCAGTCTGAAAAAGACCATCCCACCAAATATCAGATTGTTTTTATTATATTTTTCTGAAACAACACTCATTGTATGGGATACATGGTTACTACAACATGCAATGTGCTTTAAAATGTTGTAATGTTAAGGTTTCCATCACATTTCTTGTAAATAACGGTGTGCCTTGATATTTATTATCCTGGACAATGTGTTTTTAACAGAAGGGGAATGGTTGTTCCATCCTCCGCCGCCAGATGTCACTGTAGACAAGTAAAGCGTGTATTAAAGGAAGTACCAAACAAGAACAGATGTTTTTATTACACTTATTTAAAGACTGATTAAGTGGACTTACTAAAGACATGGGTGTGCGTGGTGTTACATTGAGTTTTCTTGCTTAGGATAAAAAACTGGACTCGACACCTTTATGCCAAACGCCTGGCGAGGATCCCGGAGGGAAGGTATCCTGCTGGAGTAGAGAGAGACGCCCCTCTTTGAACTCAATGTTACGATGCAGACACTTGGATGTACAGAGAAGTTGGCAGAGTGTTGTGTGTGTGCTGTCAGGGCGAAATGATTTAGCTCAGGCTACGTTTGACCGAGAAATGTAACAAAACAAAAAGGTGTGAATAATTCGAATACACTGGAATGGTTTGCGTAAAACCAAACACGGAACCTGCAGGCGGAATAATGACAAATATATCCAAACAAACCTTTTCTGAGGCACTCTACGTGAAACGGTATCTCTTTGAAGACTGATGGAAGTTGGTAACTGCGTCGAAAACCGTCTGCATTCATGGTAAGGCTTGACTTTTTGCTTACGTTTGACTTTTTTCAAATAAAAAAAAGACGACAAAAACACCGTGGATGACTGAAGAACTGATGACCTCATGTTGGGATTCGCCCATATTTCAGTATTTGCCAGTTTGCACCACTTGAAAGCAGCAGCAGCTCGGTCTTTTATTGAACCTCTAAACAACCTTTATGATGTAAACTCACTCAAAATGAGCTGTGCTTTGTGTTTGTGTTGGACCAGTCGGCGGGATTTTGTTAAACCGATGAGTTTAGTCATGGATGATCACGGATCCCAGCCCCATCCACGGAGCTCAGATCTGAGGTATGTACAACTGTCATGTGGATTACCAGCTGTGTGTGTGTGTGTGTGTGTGTGTGTGTGTGTGTGTGTGTGTGTGTGTGTGTGTGTGTGTGTGTGTGTGTGTGTGTGTGTGTGTGTGTGTGTGTGTGTGTGTGTGTGTGTGGTTGTGTGTGTGTGGGGGGGGGGATTGATTTATTTGTAACGGAGACAATCCAAGAGAAGAATGAGTGTCCAGGAGTCTTCTTTAATAGTAATCCACTATTTATTAACTGAGCCAATCTTTGTATCAAATTTTATGTGAAAAAAACAAAAACATTTCCATTCCTTATTTTGACTGCTTTTCATAACCTTTCTGTTGTAGCTACTCTTGTTTTCCAAGCACAAAAGTGACAAAATACGTTTTCAACATGTGTGTTTTTAGTATAGAAACAGCCAATTTAATATGAAAAAAGGAAAAAGGCATGGAAATATCATTTTATGTTATAGTTTTTAATGATGATGCAACAGAAATGAAGTCTGACATGCTGACTGTTTGCTGCTGTCAACATTAATTATCATCTTTAACCAGCTCTGCTTTCTGAGCAAACTGCTTTGTTTTGTAAGTTTTGTATAATACAGCCTTTGTAAATCTGCAAAAAACAACTTTGCAAAAAAGAAAATTGTTTTCCCTCGGTGCATCTTGTGCAGTCGTTGCAGACGCTTCGACCTTTGAACCCTCCTCATTTCCTGTCCTCCCGAGTTTTGCTGAGAAACGGCCTTGTCCATAGGCCGAGGTCATGGGAAGTATTTTGCGGGCAAAAACACTCGGCCCCTCCTGTGCACTCTGCAATGAGCCCGCTGGTCGTTTTTTTTCCATGTGGAAACCCATGCATTCAATGGGCTTGAAACTGATATTCTATACAATACTGATTGGTCATGTGTAATAGTCGAAGAGAATCCCAGTGAAATAAAGTGCAGCAAGGATATGACAGGATGGAATTTCTCATCAGTTTCTTGGTTCAGGGGCTCGGAGATGATGTCAGCTGCTTGTATTCCAGCGGTTGGAATCATTAAAACGAAAGGGGAGTGAGTTTCCAGAGTAACTACTCACTCCTTTGGCATTCAGGGGGTATCTGCGCTGAGTTTTTTGAGATTTAAATTAGAGGTGAGATGGAGCATTTGATCAAATGACAGTTTCCAGTACAGTATGCCATTATAGCTATGCACAGTTTCCAGTACAGCCAGCATACTGTGAGTTCTATTTCTGTAAAAATAACATTCATATACAGTATATAAAGCCTCTTGGTGTGACTTTGATTCATATTTGGTAAGTATTGTGTAATGTGGGAGCACAGCCACACTCCCTGGCAGCTGAGAGTCTCAGACCACCTCTCTGTGGTTTGACTGTTATTTGGAAAAGTGAACCGCACTCTCCCACAAGCTGCTTGGGTGTGGGGAGAAGGCACTGTCGTCTCTATTATTCGTGGTTTCTTATAGTTGGAGCCAATGAAATTTTGCTCCTTATTTTTTCAAATGCAGTCGTATTACAGATTTCTTTTGACACCCAAAAGCCACGCTACATGATGTGTTATCCAAACACTGGACTGCCTTTTCTCCGAGCACAGAATGGTAAAAAATGATTACTTTTATAAAAAAAAGAATTCCAGTGTAATTATCATATGAAATGTTCTTTTTTTTTCTATTCCAAGTTTTTGAGAGAAAACATTTCATCTTAAGTAAACATGTGCACCGCTTGGATCTGGCCACTTACTAATTGGACACACCTTAAACCATGATCTCACATGGCCGCCTCACCTCAGGGCAGAATGTGGGATTGGTTAAGGTATCGTGAATCCCCACAGTTGTTTTCCCGACATGCAAGGCAGTCCAAGGGCACAGCTGCTCACGAGTCCACAGAACCGTATACACATGAAGCGAGAGGGCATGTGGAGTTGAGTCATAGGGACTGTCATTACAAGTGTGGGCAACTTTGAAGCAACTGTGAGGAACTTTTGATTTTGTGTTAAATGTGGCGTAGCCTGTGGACAAAGTGGTACATCATATCTTATCTCTGATCCTGTCCTCTCTGACACCTACCCACTACCCAGTGGAAGTGATTACAGGCATCGGAAACATTTCTATAGAATAATCTATATTCTTTTTCTGGTGGTCTGGTTTGTGTTTGAGGTCAGACAGTGCTTTTAGAGATACTCGAAAACAACATCCATGATAGTCCTCCAGCTCTGTAAACATGGTCTTCTGTTTATTTAAGTATTAATAGTCGTTTTACAGTATCTAAAATTAGTTTCAGTTCAGCATTAGAAACATTTTGATATTGGGTTCTACTTGGTTATGGTTAGGCTTGGTTAATAAATGTGAAAGAAGAAGAAATGTCTCTTTGGCTCTTTAAACCCGTCGTCAGCCTCATCGCTGACTGATTCTTATGACCCTATTGCCCGTGGGTGTTGATGAGTGTTTGGCCATGGGTTGTCCTTTTTCAGCTGCTGCTGAGTTTAATGCCGACTCTTTTTCACTTTGTTGGCAGAGGTTTGATGATTGCAGGGGATGTAGTTTAGTTCCCCAATAAAACTACACAAGCTAACATTACGGATCATGTAGAACTGTAAACAAAGCTGTGAAAACAAACTGGGACATTAACAACTGCTTTCTATGAAATGGATTTCAAGGTTAGCATCAGTGAGTGACATATTCAAATTAATATATTATCATATTGTAAACATAATGTCAAGGGCTACACTACGCTGACTCTTATGTGCTTAGCCAGGCAGGTTGTCCACCAATACCCCCCCCCCCAAAAAAAAATTGATCTTTTGAAACCAGGTTTTTTAACAGTCATAAACTGTTATTTTCTCATACATGTTTGTGCAATGCTTATTAATCCTCAACTCTGATATCAAGGCTTTAAACGCACAGTGTGTACATCCCACCACCAGGGGGCTCTCTATGAAAACAGTAACAAAAAGATGAAGAGGCTGGCGGGGGGAACATGGGAGTTCTCTCTGCTACCCCTGTCATGGCGGCTCTGTCACGGCGGCCGCCACGACAAGACACGTCCCGTTACAAAATTTAAAATGAAGGATTTCTCTGGTTATGATAACTGTTAAAATTGTCTGAGGTAATGTAAATACTTATAAAAAAACCTATCAAAAGTGAAGTACATTTTTAATTAATTTAGATGTTTTAATGTAAACATTCGACATATTATACCTTTAAGGCTTCGATTTGCCATTAGAGACAACGTGGACTCTTAGTACACTAAAGCACAGCACAGTTTTTTTTCCTCCTCATAATCATCCCCAGAGACAACAAGGCTTTCTCTGTTGGTGTAAATATATAATTTGGTCTGCAGCGCGCAGCCCTCAGAAAGCCCACTCAGGTCTTTGCTGCAGAAAAAAAAGGCAACATAAAGGGTGTCATTCAAAGATCTCCACCCACTAGATGTAATAAAACCAAGAGGAAAAATCAGCACTGAGGCCCCGCAAGCTCGTCCTGACAGTGTCTTTAACACTGGGCCGTTTAATCTCATGGACGCTTTCTGCCTCACAGGACTAAAACAGACAAAATGGCTAACATCCAAGAGAACAGGGAAGAATGGGTCGTCTTTGTTGTCACACTGTAGCCAACGCAATGACCGTAAATACCAGTCGATTCTTCTCACTGGACAGTTATGGTAATTATGGAGCACGGTTCTTTAGATATAATATCTACCTTTTCTTGTGATCTCTACAGTAAAGATTGTGATTTTTGTGTTTGTGTGATATTGATGATGTACACAACAGCTTGTTTAAAATAGATTATCTGCACAGATCTCATCTTAGATTCAGACTTGTGCCCTCTTTGTGTGTGTTATTCACTCTTCCAGGGCATAACAGTCTGATGCCTCCCACTCTCCGTCTGTGTTACATTCAGAATGACCTGCCATGAATAAGGCCTTTG